GAATGAGGGAGACAATGCAAAGCACGGAACGTATTTTTACCTTAATTCCCTACGCATTGTTCACTCTCGGGTGCATATCAGACATGTTTTGGCGGCTGGCGAATTAATCCAATTTATATATGAATGAAATGGAAGTTGGCAGTTGGAACATTTTGCAAAGAAACTGGCCTTCATTTTAAGCCATAGATGGTGTCTTTAAAGATAATCGGAAAGGAAGAAAAATTGAAGTCGCATCACAACGTATAGGACCAATAAAAATAAAAGTAATTGAATAAAGATAGAGCCTTGGAGCTCATGTCCACACATTTCGTAACTTTCGCCAAGATCTAGGGGCTTTTTAAAAGTTACAGGTCATCATTGATAAAAACGGGCATAAAAGAGACAATTGGAAACCTCATAAAAATAGCCTAACACATCACAAATCGGTCAAGGGATCACCTCGGTGAATCACACTATTGCATTTACATTGTGGCATCACACACCATCGAACTCACATACGCACCCACTCATGTGCCAACATTCGCCTCACTCATTAGAAACTCCATAATTGGCGCTTGAATCGGCCTAGACTCTGAATATTGCGCAAGTCAGGCGGTAGACAGTTAAACAAACCCGATGCTCTGTAGCTAAATCGGCGAGTGCCAGAGTTGCTCACCACTCGGGGGCGCCTCAGCTGGTTAGCCTGTCACATTTCATGAGTGTGCTCAGTACGTGTGAACATCGCGACCATATCTGGTGGCTGACACGCAAGACGTTTTTGAGCGGGCACAACATGTGATATGTGACGAGCTGATCAGCACTAACCATCGTGGATCCCTGACAGCATCCGATATATGGTCACACCTTCTCCTTCCGTTCACATCCCGCGCACCGAAGTTCGCGAGTTTTTGCACGCGATGGAACTGGGTGGCTCCGTGAGTACCATATAGTGCTATACAGTATCTAATGGAGGAAAGAACTAGAGCTCCGACAACGCGAACGAGGGTATCTCTTGGGAGTACATGTTTGGCATGGGACAGGGCCATCAGAGCGCCCATCGACCTGGCAACAAGCTGATCAATGTGCGCTACAAATATGAGATTTCTGCCCATGACCACACCAAGGTTTTTGACAGTACTGCTTTCAGTGACGACAGCTGATCCGATCTTGACATGCAGAGGAGGCATATGACGCAGGATAGCCTTCGCCCCGAAAACCATTAACTGTGTTTTTGCTGTATTGACTTTCATAGAGTGGTTGTTAAACCAGTCCAATACAACTGACAAGGTATTCTCCATGTCTGCGACAAGCTGTTGCATTGCACATGTCTTTCCCGTTACCAAAATCTGTGTGTCATCGGCATATTTTATCACTGTAGCGCCTTCTGAATATAACGCTAGATCGTTCGAGAAAATGGAATATAGGAGCGGCCTGAGGGCGGTACTCTGAAATACCCCCATCCCATTCGGAAGACTATGAGAGCGTGCAGTATGCCCTGAAGGGTATATGACCTGAACCTGCTGGGTATGCCCGCAAAGGTAGCTTTCAAACCATTTCGTGTCGATATTGTATATCTTAGGCTTGAATAAGAAAAGCTGGTGGTTCACAACGTCAAAACATTTTGACAGATCTATTAAAACAAGCAGAGCGATCTCCCCAGCATCCTTCGCGGTATTTTATCAGTCACTACAGTAAGTGCGGTCTCTGTTGAAAAATTCGCACGATATCCGTGTTGTGTATGCGAAAAGAAATCATGCTCGTTAAAATATGAACTAAGTTGATGATGAACAATACGCTCGACCATCTTCCTTATCGCTGGCACTACAGAGATTGGCCTAAATTTGGTAGGATCGTTCAAATCACTGGTTTTTGGGAGCACTGTGACAAGAGCGTGTTGGCAGGCAAATTTGTTCGGTGTTCGGTCAAAAATGTTCGGTCAAATTTTGTTATCAATTAGTTTGACCAAAAATCTGTGAAAAGGGGTGCTCAAATTGTGATATTCAGCTTTTAGAGTTCATCGAGAAGGTTTTTGTTAATTTTTCACTTCTACATTTCGGGAGTTGTGCAATTTAGTGGTCAAGTTTCTTTGGGTATAAGAAGTACCTGGCGAAAATTATCTACTGCGCTTTGCGGTGTTTGTATCAGGCTTTTCTTTGCTGTGGTGTTCGGGTGGTGTGACCCAAGAAATTGGGGATGCCTGAAAATCTTGCATTTGGCGCATAGCTGATGATTGTGATAAATGTGATTAATAACCCGAACTTGATACACGCAAATGGCTGGAGTCACTGAGGCTCTTGGGCTTGAAGGTACCTGGTGTCCTTGCTTTGTAAATACATAGGCATAAAACAACTGTAGGTGAGACAAGATATAGCCATGGGTGTCCAGGTTCTGTTGACCCTTGTTTATGCTTGATGGCTTCAAGTGAGCTCGGTTTTGGATGACGCCTTAGAACATCTGAAAGAGAAATATGGGTTTGGTATGTGTGGTTTGACAATATCAAGAAGGAGCGAAAAATTCACTTGAAGTATGGGGAAAATGAATGAAAAATTCCGCCTCATATGGTGCTCTTTAACGCGAGAAGTCGGCAATTCTAGAACGCTGAGCATGGGTATGGGCATGCATACTTAATCTGTGTATTGATTTGGTCTTACCGTTTTTATATGAGCTTGAAACTATCCGTGTTACCCAAGACTAAAATAGATTTTAGTTGCGATGCGCCTGGTGATTGGATAGCCACTGCGGGTTATCCTGCTTGCTGCTGCGTCGTAGTCGTGCTCGAAGCATATCTGCCTCGGCAAATGTCAACAGGCTGGATAGGATTTTAGTTTGTATGGGATATTGGTTGAATTAGAACCCACCATTTGGATAGAAACGGTGCTTTCCTCAGGAGATCAGGGAATAGCTAAGGGGCTCCGCGGAAATACTGGGATATCCTTTGTCCCCGGCTTGGTGTAGGGGCACGGACGAGGAGCGCTGCTTAGCGGTACAGCATATCGCACAGGGAGCTGAACGTGCGCTTGGCCGGCCGTAGCGACGAGTGAGCGTGGAAGACTGCCTGTATGGAGCACGTGGCCAATAACACGATGGGCAACGGCGCAGGCACGTGGACAAGAGCACAGCGGACGATGGCACAGGCACGCGGAGCGCCAGTCCGGTGCGGTCCAGCAGCTGCAGTAGCCAGGCACTGGCACGTACAACTTTATAAATTTACCTGGCCTGGGTCATCCTCACGAACATTTCCATGCACGTGGTCAGAGCTACTCCTTCCTTTTCACTACACTTACAAATCTGTGGTAAACCCTGCGCGGTTCTTCATGCTTCCTCTTTGTCTTTGGGCGGGTAGTACATGTCCCTTATGCCCTGCCTAATCGATGGGGAAGTTTTCAGGCTCGGGGCACGTCAGCAGGAGTGCAGAAAGGCGATAAGTTAAATACCATCCTGAGGCACGCGACAGGCATTGACACGGTGCCACAGAACGTCCGGCAAGAAACAGTCCTGTGTTTGCGATGTTTGCAGCAAAATAGTTTGCTGTATCACTAGCTTTGTTAAAAAATATTGTGTATAAGGGCGTCAACCCTGTCACCAGGCGACCAAACCCCACCACTACTGACATCGATGACCGATGGCTTCAGTTCCAGACAGAATTCAACGGAGGCCTAGAGGCGTTTCCTGCGTCTGAAGAACGTGCAGTGTATTAAATTGGAAGTGCATTGATCTGTTTGTTGACAGCTTAAGACCCCGCTGCACTGTACGGCGTGGGGCCGCGTGTCCGTAGCGCTTGGCAGGTTCTGGAAAATGGGTCCGCCGATCTCATCCAAGACGGGCCAGTGCATTTGCAGGCCTGCTCTGACGTCTTCCCCGAGACGAAAACGCTCCACAGAGACAAAAAGCCCGCGCGCTCGAAAGTATCTAAAGCGCAATATCTCCATCAAGAGCTTTTCGACTCAGACGCTTCCGCACGTCCTAGTGCTACGGGCACGCCTCTTCAGCCGTGTCATAGAGGTGTCGCTGGAGAAGACGAACGGCCAGATCAACATTACCGTGAACTTCCCCGTCAACGGACTGAGCCTCTCGCCCGACTCCACCGGACAGGCGCCTTGCAAATACAACCTGTGCGGCGGGGCCTACCATTCTGACGCCCGACCCCGCCGGACAAGCGCTCTGGAAGTACAGCCTGTGCGGTGGGGCCTACCAATCTGACGCCCGACCCCGCCAGACAGGCGCTCTGGAAGTACAACCCGTGCGGCGGGCCTACCATTCTGACGCCCGACCCCGCCGGACAGGCGCTCTGGAAGTACAACCCGTGCGGCGGGCCTACCATTCTGACACCCGACTCCGCCAGACAGGCGCCCTAAAAGTACAACCTGTGCAACGAGGCCAGCCATGCGACGTGACTAGCAGCCAGCGTTGTCGATCCATCATCTGTGGGTTCCTGGTAGCCAGGTCAGTGATATTGTGGGGATGTGAACTATTCAGTTGAAAGGTTGCCTCGTCGGTCTATCATGTCGCCTGCTGTTTACATCGTTGGCATCGTTTGTCTCAAGCACAAATGATCATAAGAGTGCGATGAAAACAGTTTATTTTACATGCGCCTGTATTTCTTAGCAGTACGGAAGCATGAATATTTCACTTATGCAGCCTCACAGCCTCGCACACTCGTTTACGCTATGCCTAGCGCTCGCCGTCCATCCGTCTTAGTAGTTGCGGGCGGGGGCAGGAGCGCTGTAACGAGCTGGAGCCGGAGCAGGAACATTGTACTCTCTGGGGGCAGGAGCGGGAGCGCTGTACTGCCTGGGAGCAGGAGCAGGAGCGGGAGCGTTGTACTGCCGAGGAGCAGGAGCCGCAGGAGCGGGAGCGTTGTACTGCCGAGGAGCAGGAGCCGCAGGAGCGGGAGCGTTGTACTGCCGGGCAGCAGGAGCCGGGGCGCTGTAGCGGGCGGGAGCGGGGGCTGGGGCAGAGCCATAGCTCTGCTCGCCCTGGTACACCTGTGGCACGATCGGCAGCGGGTACTCGGTCGGCACCGGCGTCGGCAGGATGTCGCTAGACGGCTGGTAGCCGTTTTCGTCGGCAACAAACGTCACCTGGATGGGTTTGCCGTAGCCGTCGCTGTAGCTCCAGCCGCCCTGCTGGGCGTAGCCGCCGGTGGGCTGGCCGTACTCGGATTTGCCGTAGCCGGCCTTGGGGCTGCCGTTCTCGTTACGTGAGATGCCGTTCTCGGTCTGGAAGCTGAACTGGTAGGTGCCGTCGCCCGGGTGGACGTTCTCCTCGCTGAGGATGGCTAAGGGCTGGCCGTAGCCGGCCGGCTGCTGGTAGGAGGCCGGTGCCGCCGGCTGCTGGTGGGAGGCTGGTGCCGGGGCCGCCGGCCGCTGGTAGGAGGCGGGCGCCGGCTGCGGCCGCGGGCCATCAGCACAGGCCAGAGCCGCCAGCGAGGCTACGATCAGCTGGAAACACACCCAGCTGACGTCAGAGGGGGTGCCGACCCGGCGGTGCCAGCAAGGGTTCAGATTGCGACCCATGATTTCACCATGACAAGACGCAGTTTAGCACCTTTGCCAGACCACTCTTTGTTATGGATCTTCGCCTGTAGATGCAGGGATCAAGGGATAGCTATGGAATGTGTGTAGCATCTGACAGCGCATTGGCTGACGACATTGCGTTCTATACTGATTCAGAGACTGTTGAAATTAGAGCCTGACGTTCGCACGTCTGTTCTGGTCCCTTTTGGCCAGTGCGTTATCGTGCGAAAGTTTTGGATGTAAAATTAAATACTAAGTTTTTAAGTGGGCCAATTTAAGCCAGTCAGATTACTTTTGCGGTTCACCAAAATGGCTATATACCTACCCGTGTAGACTACTTGGGACGGATATAAAAAAGCACTGAGGCGCTGGGACTGAGGGCACTTTGACTTCGCCTGCTACGTAAAGAAATGACCGCTGATCAACGACCTTATCTAAAAGAACCTCCCTGGCGCCCCAACTGACAGTACAGACACCGCTGGAATACGAAAGGCAACCCTCATGTGAAGCACCGATCTCCCTGGTCGCACTCACCAGCTTCATGTTTGCCGTGGGGTTGTGAGATGGACACCACTGCTGGCGAGTGACTGGTGCCTGGTGTCTGTGCGGCCGGGCTTTTATTTGGCCGTGGGAGGGCGACGCGGTTGGCTGTCACGCTGCCTCCGGCGGCGCTGCCCCACCTGACGCAACGCCCTCTGCAGTGGGCGTCCCCGTCCAGCCAGGCGACCAGACCACAACCGGCCGCCGGTCCACTGATCTCACGTGAGCCAGCTCGACCCAGCGCTGCTTCCGAGAGGGCGGGGACGGCGGCACGGAGCACGCACAGAGACAGGTTCAGGTTGGAAGCAGAAGAAGGAGAAGAAAGCACCTTGGCAAGGTTGGTAGCACAAGCGACAGCCTGACGCGCTAGACCGTGTCACCTTCAGGTCGGCTTCGGAGCGACATGATCGCGCAATCGAGCACCAGCCAATGATTTGTAGACGAGCGGCCGATGTCGGAGGCCTTTTATGTTGCTACTGGTACTGAAAGACTGTTGAAGATTTTGAGCAATGTTTCAGACGGTCATGCAAACATGACCCGTTGTCCGTACGTACTTTAATAACACACTGTCGGCTCACCATGGCGTGAGCCGACGGTGCCTAGAAACATCACATGGAGTAATCCGATGAAACACTTGATCAGTTTTCCGCAACATTCTGCCAGGTTGGGAGACTAAATACCGACAGGAAAACACGCCAATTACGCGAACTGTGAGGGTATAGTCAATTGCTTGTGCTTTGTGCTGCCACGACAAAGCTGACTTTGCGTGTTGTCTTAGCAGCCTAGCCTCGAGTGTTGGCTTTGCTCGTAATCCCATTAAGGCCGACAGCCATCCGCCGTGCACACGACACACTGGCCTCACATCCCGCTCCGTGGCGGCCGTACGCGCTCCAAAGCTTCCTTGTCGTGTTTATCACTCACAGGGGTATGGTAGCCACTTAAATATCAGTGTTCGGAAAACGTGAGCAGTGGTAGAGAGGGCCGGTTGTGATGATACATGAATAAGTTGCCATTAAACAGTTCCCGGTACTTTTGCAAGTTTTCCTGCTCTTGATAAGAAGGAGTATAGCACGTGGCATGAGCACTCACTGGCACGGCTGTAGTCGCCGGCTCACGCTCGCCCACGGCATCTTTTGTGGTCTTGGTGTATCATGCTATGTAATTATTTCCTATAGTGATGCGTTAGCTACCGCACGAACAACGGCGGATGGACAAAGATTTATGCGATGATGCGGTAAATTTCGACTGCGCAGCAATGCTCGGTTAACGTATAATGAATTGTCAATGTATGAAAAGTCAACAAGACATTGAAGATAACGATGCGGTCAGTTCTCCTGAACTGCTTTCTGGTCCTTGTGGCAACTGAAAATTTGTCTTCAAGTAGTGTTCGCATGTAATTGGAGAGCCATCATGTGGAAGAAGATTTACTCAAGCCCCAGTCCTAAACCGTGGAAGGTGTTCGACATACATGTAACTCTCGACCGAACGGGCAGAACAACTCTGAGCTCTTCTGAGCGGTGTCACACGGCCTGACACCCTGTCAGGGTACACGGTATGTGATGTCCGCATTCTCCAGTGGCAGAGGTCCGCCTGGCTCCGACCGTAAGACGGTGGGTACGGATCAGAAACGTCACGTTCTTGCAAAATGTCCTCCCGTATCCCGGTCCGCCCTGGCCAGCTAGCGATCTGACCCGCAAAAACCGACTGCGCTACAAATCTTATCTGACGTTAAGTACAATCTGTATTTTCCCGGTATTCTGTAATTTTTCACATACAGATAAAATGTGCCAACAAGATGTCATATAATTGCCATCTTATTTACCACTGCGGTGCCGATTTTTGCATGCAAATTACAAAGGAGAGGCTGAAAATTGAAACAGCACATAAATAAAAGGTACAGATATTTCAAGCTTGTACCTCATATTGGTAAGACCGAGGCTTGGTCTTCTTAAATAGCCTGTATGAGCTCATGACTTTGCACCCGCAAAGCGTAAAGAAACCTGGATATTTCTAGTTGTGAAAGTCCGATTTGCTCATTATATTGTACATGGACACCAATATTGGAAAGTTTTAGGAAAATGCAGACATTTTCATGTCATACAGCCACTAGAACTCGACAGTTTTACTCTTTCCATTTCACAACATCCGAATGCGCCACAACAGCCGCAATGCCATATTCGTATTGGAGTATCAAACTCGGGATCTTATATGTTGTGTGTGCTGTCCTTAGAGGGACGTATCATTCAACAGCATGAAATAAAGTTACGTTGTTGTTTGCTATGCTGCGTACACGCAAGGGTAGTAAGAATAAGCTGTTCAAAAATGCTGCTGTGTCACTGACATGCGCACTTAGCAAAGCAGCAAAACAACGTGGCATATTTATCAATATCTCATTGAGCAAATTTGTGTTGTCACAAAATGTTTACGAAAATAAATAGTTAGCAACTGTTATCTAGACCTTCGTTTACGATCCACATTGCCTGCTGAATGCAGCTTTCGGATCTTAGTCGCAATAAAAGCTGCGTCATTTGCTGAACTGTATCTTTTACATAGACCTGTGCGCAGATACCTGTTTTGAAGAAGATGGCTACGTAAACGGAAAGCACATATAGATTAGAAGTATACTTTGAAAACTAATGCCCATTGCGGTAACGCTGAAACGCATCACATCAAGTGTGCCAGAACGAAACGTGTGCGTAGCCCAGTCCAGTGTCGCTGAGCCCATCGCTGGAGTAGCAATAAGCCAAGCACAGGAGCCGTCGCGTGTCCAACTTAGGAGACGCGTGTTCAGCTCAGGCGGAGTCGCTTGTCCAATTCACGAGCAGTCGCGTATCCCAACGAAGCGTCACAGAACTCCAGGTCCCCTCCAATCTTCTTGCAAGGGCCAGGAGACCCCTAAGAAACAGTGATAGAAAAAATGGAAACTTTGGCACAAAAGCATTGTTGTGCAGCGCGCACTCCATGCAGCACCTCCTTCCCCGCACAAGCTACGTCTTCAATTTAGAGATACCGCACCCCAGCCCATCCCACCCCAACACCCTTCACTCTCGAGTGTTCTAACTCGGCCTTAGCCCCACCACATTTCACATAATATTCGCTACACGTTTTGTGGCTTCACGTCCGATCGTGAAGTGGAATTGGCATAAGTCCAAGGGGAAACCGATATTTCAGGGATGGTTAGGTGGATCCCGATTTGGGATTGGTCATGTCATTGGAATGCTCCAGTGTCCCTCCCCCGCCGATTGCGGAGGTAGTTTTTGTCCCACTCAAGAATTTTCACCGTAGTTAACTATAAACCGGAGCCGTTTTCACTTGAGCTGCTGAGTAACTACTAACACAAACTTTGTGTGCATTGGCGTGGACAGCTTTTGGGTCTGAAACGTTTCAATTACAATGCAGATATTCTCATCAGAAGGAAAACAATCCAATGAAGCAGCACTCCTAAAACGACGATTTGAGCGCTACCTTTCAAAAGATCAGGGACGTTTCACGGCACCCCGGACCGTGCCGTGCGACCTGACTAGCAGCCCGGCGTTGTCGATCCCTCTTCTGTGGGGTCCTGGCAGCCAGGTCAGGGATCTGATGGGGACGTGAACTATTCAGTTGAAAGGTTGCCTCGTCGGTCCATCATGTTGCTGGCCATTTACATCGTTGGCATCGTTTGTCTCACGTACAAATGATCATAACAGTGCGGTGAAAACAGTTTTTTTACATGCGCCTGTATTTCTTAGCAATACGGGCGCATAAATATATCACTCATGCAGCCTCACAGCCTCGCACACGCATATGCACTACTCCCAGCGCTCGCCGTCCATCCGTTTTAGTAGTTGCGGGCGGGGGCAGGAGCACTATAACGAGCAGGAGCCGGAGCAGGAGCATTGTACTGCCTGGGGGCAGGAGCGGGAGCGCTGTACTGCCTGGGAGCAGGAGCAGGAGCGGGAGCATTGTACTGCCGAGGAGCAGGAGCAGGAGCCGCAGGAGCGGGAGCGTTGTACTGCCGGGCAGCAGGAGCCGGGGCGCTGTAGCGGGCGGGAGCGGGGGCTGGGGCAGAGCCATAGCTCTGCTCGCCTTGGTACACCTGCGGCACGATCGGCAGCGGATACTCGGTCGGCACCGGCGTCGGCAGGATGTCGCTAGACGGCTGGTAGCCGTTCTCGTCGGCAACAAACGTCACCTGGATGGGGTTGCCGTAATCGTCGCTGTAGCTCCAGCCGCCCTGCTGGACGTAGCCGCCGGTGGGCTGGCCGTACTCAGATTTGCCGTAGCCGGCCTTGGGGTTGCCGTTCTCGTTACGTGAGATGCCGTTCTCGGTCTGGAAGCCGAACTGGTAGGTGCCGTCGCCCGGGTGGACATTCTCCTCGCTGAGGATGGCGAAGGGCTGGCCGTAGCCGGCCGGCTGCTGGTAGGAGGCCGGCGCCGCCGGCTGCTGGTAGGAGGCTGGTGCCGGGGCTGCCGGCCGCTGGTAGGAGGCTGGTGCCGGCTGCGGCCGCGGGCCATCAGCGCAGGCCAGAGCCGCCAGCGAGGCTACGATCAGCTGGAAACACACCCAGCTGACGTCAGAGGGGGTGCCCACCCAGCTTTGCAAGAAGTGGCTGAAATCGCGACGCATCTTTTGGCCGTGATGATACTTAGTTCAGTGCCTTTGTCATGTCAGTTTCTGCAATCAGTCTCCGGCTGTGGATGCAGGGATCAAGGGATAGTTGTGGAATATGTTCAGCGCCTGACAGCGACGACTGGCGACGTGGCCTTTCCCACTGATCCAGGGACTGTTGAAATTGTAGCCTACGTCCGCACTTCTGTTCTGATCTATTCTGGTCAGTGTGGTATGATAGCAGCGTTTTGGATGTCAAATTACGCTCCTGATTTTTAAGGTGACCAATTGAAGCACGTCATGCTAATATTGCGGTTCACCGAAATGGCTGCATGCCTACCTGTTTAGGCTCCTTGGAAGGAATGAAAAGGGCACTAAAACTAAATACGTTTTGACTTTTTCGGACGCGGAAGTAATGGAAGATGATCAACAACCCTATTTGCAAGACCTTCTGTGTCGCCCTAACTGACAGTACGGACGCCGCTGGAATACGACAGGCAACGCTCATGTGAAGCACCGATCTTCCGGACCGCACTCACCAGCTTCATGTTTTCCGTGGCGATGTGAGGTGGACACCACTGCTGGGGAGTGACGAGTGCCTGGTGTCTGTGCGGCCGGCCTTTTATTCGGCCGCGGGAGGGCGACGCGGTTGGCCGTCACGCTGCCGCCGGCGGCGCTGCCCCACCTGACGTAACGCCCTCTGCAGTGGGCGCCCACGGCCAGCCAGACGACCCGACCACAACCGGCCGCCGGTCCACCGATCTCACGTGAGACCGCTCGGCCCGGCACCGCTTCCGATGGGGCGGGGACGGCGGCACGGAGCACGCATTGAGACAGGTTTAGGTTGCAAGCAGAAGGGTTAGCAGGTCAAAAAGTTTCCTGGTACAGACGACAAGCTGACGCTCTGAGTTGCACCACCTTCAGGTCGGCGTCGGAGCGGCACGGTCGCGGAATCGAACACCAGTCAATGATTCGCAGGGAAGCAGCCGATGAGGGATGCCTTTTACGTCATGACTGATGCTGAAAGGCCAGCGAAGACCCAAAAAAGACATGAAGCTCTCTGGTTCCTGAGTTAAAGGCCTGCAAAAGTGCGAAAAAGTTTGTTGGGAGACTACTTGAAAGTCACCTTGGCAGTGATGACGCCATATAACGTCATACAATCGTCGTTATAGAGGTTATAAAGGTTATAAAAAGAGAACACGAGCGATGATGCGGCACGCATGGTACAATCCGCGGAAGGTGATTGGCTGTTAAAAAAATTCGCTGTGAATGCGCGTCGCGAGCTAAATGCGAGCACTTTCAGGTTGTCTGGCACTTGTGGTCAACTGGGCATTTAAGGAAATACCACTGCCCCTGTCTGCAAAGATAGTGCAATACCGAAGAACGGCACGCTTCCGAATGTTAGAAAAAAGACAAGACGCGACGGCAAATCCACCTTTTTCTCGTACTGACGTTTTCTGTTGTTTTACTGACGTATTTTTTACAGACAGCTCAGTTAGCGTCTTGTATACGGGATTAAGGTGCCCTGCATGGTTTTATGGGTAAGCCAGACATTGTAGCATTGGAGAAATATTACAGTAATTTTAGATATATAGCTTTTGCTAAATATTCGTCACATGTCGAATGACAAGTTTAAATCTTGAACAAAATAATTGTGTCCTTCAAGTGTGAACTCTTGAGTTGTGTTACTATGAACCCTTTTTGGGACTTTGTTTTTGAAGGGAGCTCAGAGCGAAATGCGGTGTTGTAACCGAAAACCTGTGCGGACATTGCAAGAAAACCTGCAATTTGATAGCCCCGCGGGCTATGCAAGTATGGGATTACACTGATTTGACATTCGAGTGTAAATCGAGCGTTTCAAATGGTCGGGATCGCTGATGAGACGTGCCAATGGCTTGTATTGATCTTGATGTAATGGGAAGGGTGCGTGCAAGGTTTGTAGTTCTAACAGAGAACATTATTTTGGTATCCTTTAAATCTAATAAATCCCAATAAAATGGTATGGTTTGATACCTGCTCTAGGTTTGCGATTTAACATGGCAAAGTTATGATGGCGTCAAACTGAAAGAAACACTGGCATCTATGATTCAGGGGTGCTCAAAGGCAATTTGCTGTTTCATTATGATCTTGCCATAATTTTGAACCCATTGGGGTATTCCACCATGTAGTTAATCCCTTGCACGCCATTATATTAGCAATTCATTTAGGCAGCGGGGACAGGTCAGTGCGGCTCATTAATGCACATGCTTGCTCTGAGCATTTCACTTGTGTGAGATGCTGGGTACGGAGGAAGACGGAGCAGTGTTGTAGTTGGTTTCTTGGACAGCGCTTCATAGTATTTTTATCATGTGCCTTGTGTGCACTGGCAGCTTCATCACTTCTTTGCATTTTGCCCATCTAACTGTTACCACATGCACTTGTCAGGCCTCCATCATTGAGCAAGGTCAGCCGGTTCGCAGTGTCTTTTCACGACAATGAATGTTTTCTTGTTATGCATGTGCGATTACTTGTGTGAACCGCATTTTTAACACGCTCCCAGGTAGTCATTTGAATACCCTTCGCTCGGGTGGGGTGTAAATTTGACCCCCTGAGATCTCGGGAACTAAGAGAGCTAGACACACCAAATTCATGGAGTGTCTTGACCTGCACGTAATTTCTTAGGTCAAAGTTTGAAGTTCGTAAGTCATGGCCGTCGGGTCAAACAGGGTCAAACAAGGTCATATTCCAGAATGGTGTCCAAAAGAACCCTAGAACCTAGGCAACTGTTTGAAGAAAAATTTCACGCACTCAGTAAGGGTCAGTGACCTTGTTTGACCTTTTAACACGCACCAGGGTCACCGGTTGGTCAATCTTTGCTCGGGTGAAAGGGATCAATTTGACCCCCTGAGATCCCCGGAATGAAGAGCGCTAGAGAGACAAAATTCACAGCGTGTGTTGAACTGTATGTGAACTCACTTAGGTCAAAGTTTAAAGCCCTTAGGTCATGACCTCCGGGTCAGATAAGGTCAAGCAAGGTTAAATTCCAGATTAGTCTCCAAAGGACCCCTAGTCATGATGAGCAGAATGATACAAAAGGGTTTTGAGTTGTGCATTTGAATAAGCGACAAAGATTACGCTAGGCAGTATGTTCCTAAAAACAAAATGTTGACCTGGGTCATTTTAGGTCAGTGACCTATTCTGACTTATATGAAGTCCATGGAAGGTGTATAATACGGTTCCTGCCATCAATATGTTCGAAATGAGCACCAGAAACAAGCCCATACAGCAAGCTCTAGAGTAATAGAACAGTTTGGTATTACCTCGGTCAGACATTCATACCTGACCCTAGGTCAATGCTTTTTGTGTATTCAATTGTTGTGTTGCCTAAGAAAAGATCTCAGTGATGCACGGATTCGTCTAACACTCCGTTGTTTGGTCGGATTGAACGATTCTCTAGAACGTGCCTTCGCTGGAACCATGACCTGACTCGTACTTACCATAGGTCAGCGACCTTACAAGGTACTTCTAAATGTTTATTGTCACACATTTTGTTATTTAATTGTCTACAGCCATGCAAAATTTAGCGCGGCTTTACCGGGCCGTTTGGAAATTATTTCGGGAAACCCTCGGAGGGGTCAATTTGACCCCTACCCGAGCGCGTGCTAAGTGAAGCAGTCTGATGGCTGTAGCATGTTGCATAGCTGTGGAGCAGAAGACATGACTGCATTTTTGTCACAGATTTTGCAGGGATTACAGAACAAAAACTACACCACTGTTTATTATGTCATGCCACAGTACAGTATTGAGGTAGTGCTGCGATGGCACTGTTAACTCGTGCCATTATGCAATGTACCGCATTGGTTGACAAGCTTATGTGAAGCCTTTGAGACAACAGTTTGTAATTTATGAATAACTTGTAATACCTCACTTAACCACGCTAAATGACTATTATCAGCGAGGATGCTATTCCACCACAATGGTGATATCAGGGTTAACTAGTAATTACATAAATAATCCTAAGCAAGAAAAACATTCATGGTAGCTCAACCCTACCATCTTTGCCACGGCATTAGCAGTGTTCTGGCAATCAATTCACAGTAACGTTACAGATTTATGAATTTTTGCGCGGAACTGTGTTATAATTACATTAATTAGTAACTACTGCGCACATTACATAATATCAATGTCAGGACTACAGCACTGCAGGCAGGGATAAGTTGACAGTACAATACGTATGTCAAACAGTCCGCCAAGGCTTTTCTTACGACCAATACCAAGACAAAAAATCCCCAGACAAGCCATTCACTAATCGACCGCCCAACACAGCGCCCGCGACGAGAATGGCCGGTTGGCGTCAGTTTTCGTGCGTTTCTACGTATTTTTTAGTTCTTGCTGCCACATGCTGCCAGGTATTGCTGGCGTCACAAAACCACTCCATGACGTCATCAAACAATGGCGTAATGAGGCGCCTTTTTCAAGCTTTGAAATTTTGCTAGTTAGAGTCGTTTTTGAGCCTGGAAAGTTTACCAATAGTTACAAGCAAACTTTTCGCATCATATCTGACGCTTATCTCATTATATTTAAATGGGGAACATTCCTTTTCAAATGTTGTACAATTTCTCTGCAGCATAATCCAACTGAGAACGTGCATACACTTCATACCTATTTTGCATCAATATACCAGGCACCCAAACATGTCTGGTATGCACTCAACAGTGAACAATCTGTAGGGAATGAAGGAGACAATGCAAAGCATGGAATGTATTTTTTACCTTAATTCCCTTCGCACTGTTCACTCTCGGGAGCATATCAGACATGTTTTGGCGGCTGGTGAATTAATGCAATTCTTATATGAATGAAATGCAAATTGGCAGTTGGAACATTTTGCAAAGTAACTGGTCATTATTTTAAGCCATAGATGGTGTCTTTAAAGATAATCGGGTAGGAAGAAAAACTGAAGTCGCATCACAACATATAGGACCAATACAAATATAAGTAGTTGAATAAAGATAGAGCCCTAGAGTTCATGCTCATATATTTCGTAACTTTCCACGAGTCAGTGACTTTTTAAAAGTTACAATTCATCATTAGTAAAAACGGGCATAAAAGAGACAGTTGGAAACCTAGTAAAAATAGCCTAACACATCACAAATCGGTCAAGGGACCATCTCGGTGATTGCACTATTGCATTCACATTGTCGCATCACACAATCGAACTCACACACGCACCCACTCATGTGCCAACATTCGCCTCACTCATTAGAAACTCCATAAATGGCGCTTGAATCGGCCTAGACTCTGAATATTGCGCAAGTCGGGCGGTAGACAGTTAAATCAATCCGATGCTCTGTAGCTAAATCGGCGAGTGCCAGAGTTGCTCACCACTCGGGGGCGCCTCAGCTGGTTAGCCTGTCGCATTTCATGAGCGTGCTCAGCACGTGTGAACATCGCGACCATATCTGGTGGCTGACACGTAAGACATTTTTGGGCGGGCACAACATGTAATAGGTGACGAGCTGATCAGCACTAACCATCGTAGATCCCTGACAACATCCGATATATGGTCACACCTTCTCCTTCCGCTCACAACCCGCGCACAGAAGTTCACGAGTTTTTGCACCCGATGGAACTGGGTGGCTCCGTGAGTACCACATAGTGCTATATAGTATCTAATGGAAGAAAGAACTAGAGCTCCGACAATGCGAACGAGGGTATCTCTTGAGAGTACATGCTTGACATGGGACAGGGCCATCAGAGCGCCCGTCGACCCGGCAACAAGCTGATCAATGTGCGGTACAAATGAGAGATTTCTGTCCATCACCACACCAAGGTTTTTGACAGTACTGCTTTCAGTGATGACAGCTGACCCGAACTTGACATGCACGGGAGGCATATGACGCAGCATAGCCTTCGTCCCGAAAACCATTAACTGTGTTTTTGTTGCATTGACTTTCATAGAGTGGTTGTTAAACCAGTCCAATGCAATTGACAAGGTACTCTCCATGTTTGCGACAAGCTGTTGCGTTATACTTTTCTTTCCAGTAACCAAAATCTGTGTGTCATCGGCATATTGTATCACTGTAGCGCACTCTGAATATAACGCTAGATCGTTCGAGAAAATGGAACATAGGAGCGGCCCGAGGGCGGTACTCTGAAATACCCCCATCCCATTCGGAAGAGTACGAGAGCGCACAGTATGCCCTGAAGGATATCTGGCCTGAACCTGTTGGGTATGCCCGCAAAGGTAGCTTTCAGACCATTTCGTGTCGATATTGTATATCTTAAGCTTGGATAAGAGAAGCTGGTGGTCCACAACGTTAAAACATTTTGACAGATCTCTCAAAAAAGCAGAGCGATCTCACCAGCATCCATCGCGGTATGTTATCAGTCACTACAGTAAGTGCGGTCTCTGTTGAAAAATTCGCACGATATCCGTGTTGTGTATGCGAAAAGAAATCATGCTCGTTAAAATATGAACTTAGTTGATGATGAACAATACGCTCGACCATCTTCCTTATCGCTGGCACTACAGAGATTGGCCTAAATTTGGTAGGATCGTTCAAATCACTGGTTTTTGGGAGCACTGTGACAAGAGCGTGTTGGCAGGCAAATTTGTTCGGTGTTCGGTCAAAAATGTTCGGTCAAATTTTGTTATCAATTAGTTTGACCAAAAATCTGTGAAAAGGGGTGCTCAAATTGTGATATTCAGCTTTTAGAGTTCATCGAGAAGGTTTTTGTTAATTTTTCACTTCTACATTTCGGGAGTTGTGCAATTTAGTGGTCAAGTTTCTTTGGGTATAAGAAGTACCTGGCGAAAATTATCTACTGCGCTTTGCGGTGTTTGTATCAGGCTTTTCTTTGCTGTGGTGTTCGGGTGGTGTGACCCAAGAAATTGGGGATGCCTGAAAATCTTGCATTTGGCGCATAGCTGATGATTGTGATAAATGTGATTAATAACCCGAACTTGATACACGCAAATGGCTGGAGTCACTGAGGCTCTTGGGCTTGAAGGTACCTGGTGTCCTTGCTTTGTAAATACATAGGCATAAAACACCCGTAGGTGAGACAAGATATAGCCATGGGTGTCCAGGTTCTGTTGACCCTTGTTTATGCTTGATGGCTTCAAGTGAGCTCGGTTTTGGATGACGTCTTAGAGCATCTGAAAGGGAAACATGGGCTTGGTATGTGTGGTTGGGCAATATCAGGTAGGAGTGAAAAATTCGCATTAAGTATGGGGGAAAATGAGTGAAAATTCCGCCTCATAGGGTGCCCTTTAACACGCAGTCGGTGATTCTAGGACGCTGAGCATAAGTATGGGCATGCACATTTAATCAGCGTATTGATTTCACCTTACCGTTCTTATATAAGAATGGAACTACCCGTGTTACCCAAGACAAAAATAGATTTTAGTCGCGATGCGCCTGCTGATTGAATGACCACTGTGGGTTAACCTGCTTGTTGCCGCGTTGCAGTTGTGCTCGAAGCATATCTGTCTCGGCAAATACCAACAGGCTTGATAGGGTTTTAGTTCGTGTGGGACATTGGTTGAATTAGAACCCACCATTTGGAGAGAAACGGTGCTTTCCTCAGGAGATCAGGGAATAGCTAAGGGGATCCGCGGAAATACTGGGATATCCGTTGTCCCCGGCTTGGCGCAGGGGCACGGACGAGGAGCGCTGCTTAGCGGTACAGCATATCGGACGGGGGGCTGAACGTGCGCTTGGCCGGCCGTAGCGACCAGTGAGTGTGGAAGACTGCCGGTATGGAGCACGTGGCCAATAACACGATGGACAACGGCGCAGGCACGTGGACAAGAGCACGGCGGACGATGGCACAGGCACGCGGAGCGTCAGTCCGGTGCGGTCCAGCGGCTGCAGTAGCCAGGCACTGGCACGTACAACTTTACAAATTGACTTGGCCTGGGTCATCCTCACGAACATTTCCATGCATGTGTTTAGAGCTACTCTTTCCTTTTCCTACACTTACAAATCTGTGGTAAACCCTGCGCGGTGTTTCATGCTTCCTCTTTGTCTTTGGGCGGGTAGCACATGTCCCCTATGCCCTGCCTAACCGATGGGAAAGTTTTCAGGCTCGGGGCACGCCAGCTGGAGTACAGAAAGGCGATAGGTTAAATACCATCCTGAGGCACGCGACAGGCATGGACACGGTGCTACAGAACGTCCGGCAAGAAACAGTCCTGTGTTTGCGATGTTTGCGGCAAAATAGTTTGCTGTATCATTAGCTTTGTTAAAAAATATTGTGTATAAGGGCATCAACCCTGTTACCAGGCGACCAAACCCCACCACTACTGACATCGATGACCGATGGCTTCAGTTCCAGACATAATTCAACGGAGGCCTAGAGGCGTTTCCTGCGTCTGAAGAACTTGCAGTGTATTAAATTAGAAGTGCATTGATCTGTTTGTTGAGAGCTTAAGACCCCGCTGCAGTGTACGGCGTGGGCCACGTGTCCGTGGCGCTTGGCAGGTTCTGGAAAATGGGTCCGCCGATCTCATCCAAGACGGGCCAGTGCATTTGCAGGCTTGCTCTGACGTCTTCCCCGAGACGGAAACGCTCCACAGAGACAAAAAGCCCGCGCGCTCGAAAGTATCTAAAGCGCAAGATCTGCATCAAGAGCCTCTCGACTCAGACGCTCCCGCACGTCCTAGTGGCGCCTCTTAAGCCGTTTGCTAGAGAAGGTGTCGCTGGAGAAGACGAGCGGCCAGATCAACATTACCGTGAACTTCTACATCAGCGGACTGAGCCTCTCGCCCGACTCCGCCGGACAGGTGCCTTGCAAATACAACCTGTGCGGCGGGGCCTACCGTTCTGACACCCGACTCCGCAGGACAGGCAATCTGGAAGTACAACCCGTGCTGCGGGGCCTACCATTCTGACACCCGACTCCGCCAGACAGGCGCCCTAAAAGTACAACCTGTGCAACGGAGCCAGCCATGCGACGTGACTAGCAGCCGGCGTTGTCGATCCCTCTTCTGTGGGGTCCTGGCAGCCAGGTCAGGGATCTGGTGGGGATGTGAACTATTCAGTTGAAATGTTGCCTCGTCGGTCCATCATGTCGCCTGCCATTTACATCGTTGGCATTGTTTGGCTCAGGTACAAATGATCATAAGAGTGCGATGATAACAGTTTATTTTACATGCGCCTGTATTTCTTAGCAATACGGACGGATAAGTATTTCACTCATGTAGCCTCACAGCCTCGCACACTCATAGACGCTATGTCTAGCGCTCGCCGTCCATCCGTCTTAGTAGTTGCGGGCGGGGGCAGGAGCACTGTAACGAGCAGGAGCCGGAGCAGGAGCATTGTACTGCCTGGGGGCAGGAGCGGGAGCGCTGTACTGCCTGGGAGCAGGAGCAGGAGCGGGAGCGTTGTACTGCCGAGGAGCAGGAGCAGGAGCCGCAGGAGCGGGAGCGTTGTACTGCCGAGGAGCAGGAGCCGCAGGAGCGGGAGCGTTGTACTGCCGCGCAGCAGGAGCCGGGGCGCTGTAGCGGGCGGGAGCGGGGGCTGGGGCAGAGCCATAGCTCTGCTCGCCCTGGTACACCTGCGGCACGATCGGCAGCGGGTACTCGGTCGGCACCGGCGTCGGCAGGATGTCGCTAGACGGCTGGTATCCGTTTTCGTCGGCAACAAACGTCACCTGGATGGGGTTACCGTAGCCGTCGCTGTAGCTCCAGCCGCCCTGCTGGACGTAGCCGCCGGTGGGCTGGCCGTACTCGGATTTACCGTAGCCGTCATTGGGGCTGCCGTTCTCGTTACGTGAGATACCGTTCTCGGTCTGGAAGCTGAACTGGTAGGTGCCGTCGCCCGGGTGGACGTTCTCCTCGCTGAGGATGGCAAAGGGCTTGCCGTAGCCGGCCGGGTGCTGGTAGGAGGCCGGTGCCGCCGGCTGCTGGTAGGAGGCTGGTGCCGAGGCCGCTGGCCGCTGATACGAGGCGGGCGCCGGCTGCGGCCGCGGGCCATCAGCGCAGGCCAGAGCCGCCAGCGAGGCTACGATCAGCTGGAAACACACCCAGCTGACGTCAGAGGGGATGCCGACTCAACGGTGCAGACAAGGGTTGAGATTGCGACGCATGATTTCACCATGACAAGACGCAGTTTAGCACCTTTGCCAGGCCACTCTTTGTTATCGATCTCCGCCCGTGGATGCAGGGATCAAGGGATAGCTATGGAATGTGTGCAGCATCTGTGCGCGTTGACTGGCAACGCGGCGATTCACACTGATTCAGGGGCTGTTGAATTTGGAGCCTGACGTCTGAACGTCTGTTCTGATCTCTTCTGACCAGTGCATTATCATGTGAAAGTTTTGGATGTCAAATGAAATACTAAGTTTTTAAGTGGGCCAATTTAAGCCAGTCAGATTACTTTTGCGACTCACCAAAATGGCTATATACCTACCCGTGTAGACTACTTGGGACGCATATAAAAAAGCACTGAGGCGCTGCGACTGTGGGCACTTTGACTTCGTCTGCTACGTAAAGAAATGACCGCTGATCAACGACCTTATCTAAAAGACCCTCCCTGGCGCCCCAACTGGCAGTACGGACACCGCTGAACTACGAAAGGCAACCCTCATGTCAAGCACCGATCTCCCTGACCGCACTCACCAGCTTCATGTTTTCCGTGGCGTTGTGAGATGGACACCACTGCTGGCGAGTGACTGGTGCCTGATGTCTGTGCGGCCGGGCTTTTATTTGGCCGTGGGAGGGCGACGCGGTTGGCCGTCACGCTGCCGCCGGCGGCGCTGCCCCACCTGACGTAACGCCCTCTGCAGCGGGCGTCCCCGTCCAGCCAGACGACCCGACCACAACCGGCCGCCGGTCCACCGATTCCACGTGAGCCGGCCCGACCCAGCGCTGCTTCCGAGAGGGCGGGGACGGCGGCACGGAGCACGCACAGATACAGGTTCAGGTTGGAAGCAGAAGAAGAAGAAAGCAGGTTGGCAAGGTTGGTAGCACAAGCGGCAGGCTGACGCGCTAGACCGTGTCACCTTCAGGTCGGCTTCGGAGCGGTATAGTCGCGCAATCGAGCACCAGCCAATGATTTATAGACGAGCGGCCGATGTCGGAGGCCTTTTATGTTGCTACTGGTACTGAAAGGCTGTTGAAGATTTTGAACCATGTTTCAAACGGTTATGCAAAAATGACCCGTTGTCCGTACGTTTTTTAATAACACGCGTCACCATGGCGTGAGCCGAGAGTTCCTAGAAACATCACATGGAGTAATCCGATGAAACACTTGATCAGTTTTCCGGAACTTTTAGCCAGATTGGGAGACTAAACACCGACAGGAAAACACGCCAATGACGCGAACTGTGAGGGTATAGTCAATTGCTTGTGCCTTGTGCTGCCATGAGAAAGCTAACTGTGCGTGTGCCCTTAGCAGCCTAGCCTCGAGTGTTGGCTTTGCTCGTAATCCCATTAAGGCCGACAGCCATCCACCGTGCAGACGACATACTGGCCTCACATCCCGCTCCGTGGCGGCCGTACGCGCTCCAAAGCTTCCCTGTCGTGTTCATCACTCACAAGGGTATGGTAGCCACTTAGATATCACTGTGTTCGGAAAACGTGAGCAATGGTAGAGAGGGCCGGGTGTGATGATGCATGAATAAGTTGCCATTAAACAGTTGCCGGTACTTTTGCAAGTTTTCCTGCTCTCGAGAAGAAGGAGCATAGCACGGCGTGGCATGAACACTCACTGGCACGGCTGTGGTCGCCGGCTCACGCTCGCTCACGGCATCGTTTGTGGTCTTGGTGTGCCATGCCATATAAATATCCTCTATAGTGATGTGTTAGCCACCGTACGAACAACGGCGGATGGACAAAGATCTATGCGATGATGCGATAAATTTTGACTGCGCAGCAATGCTCGGTTAACGTATAATGAATTGTTAATGTATGAAAAGTCAACAAGACATTGAAGATAACGATGCGCTCAATTCTCCTTAACTGCTTTCTGGTCCATGTGGCAACTTAATTTTTTTCAAGTAGTGCTCGCATGTGGTTGGAAAGCCATCATGTGGAAGGAGATTTACTAAAGCCCCAGTCCTAAACCGTGGATGGTGTTCGACATACATGTATCTCTGGACCAAACGGGCAGAACAACTCTGAGCTCTTCTGAGCGGTGTCACACGGCCTGACATCCTGTCAGGGTATACGTTATGAGATATCCGCATCCTCCAGCTGCAGAGGTCCGCCTGGCTCCGACCGTAAGACGGTGGGGACGGTTTAGAGAGGTCGGCTTCTTCCAAAATGCCATGCTGGATCCCGGCTCACCCTGGCGAGGTGGTGATCTGATGATGAAATTTGAAACAGCACATGGACAACAGGAACAGAGATTTCGCGCTTGCATCTCATCTCGCTAACGAAGCGAACTCATGACTTTGCACTGGCAAAGCGTAAAGAAATCTGGATATTTCCAGTTGTGGAAAGTCTACTGAGCTCATTACATTGTACATGGAAACAAATGCTAAACAGTTCTAGGAAAGTTCAGACATATTTCATCCCATACAGCCACCAGAACTGAACAGTTTTACTCTTTCTTTTTCACAACATCCGAATGCGCCACAACAGCGGCGATGCCATATTCGTATTGGAGTATCAAACTCGGGATCTGATATGTTGTGTCTGTTGTCCTTAGAGGGACGTGTCATTCAACAGCATAAAATAACTTTACGTTGTTGTTTGTTATGCTGCGTACAAGCAAGGGTAGTAAGAATAAGCTGTTCAAAAATGCTGCTGTGTCACTGACATGCGCACTTAGCAAAGCAGCAAAACAACGTGGCGTATTTATCAATATCTCATTGAGCAAATTTCTGTTGCCACAAAATGATCGCGGAAAAAAATAGTTGGCAACTGATATCTAGACCTTCGTTTATGACTCACATAGCCTGCTGACCAGCTTTCGGATCTTAACCGCAATAAAATCTACGTCATATGCTGAACTGTATCTTTTACATAGACCTGTGCGCATATACCTGTTTTGAAGGAGATGGCAACGTAAATGGAAAGCACATATAAATTAAAAGTATACTTTGAAAACTAATGCCCATTTCGGTAACGGTGAAGCGCATCACATCAAGTGTGCCAAAACAAAACGCATGCGTAGCTCAGTCCGGTGTCGCTGAGCCCATCGTTGGAGCAGCAATAACCCAAGCACAGGAGCCGTCGCGTGTCCAACTTAGGAGTCGCGTGTTCAGCTCAGGATGATTCGCTTGTCCAGCTCAGGAACAGCGGCGTGTCCAAACAAAGCGTCACAGAGCTCCAGGTCCCCTCCAATCTCCTCGGAAGGGCCAACAGACCCCTAAGAAACAGTGATAGAAAAAGTGGAAAATTCGGCACAAAGGCATTGTTGTGCAACGCGCCCTTCGTTACAACGCCACCTTCCCCGCACAAGCTACCTCTTGAAATTACCAGATACCGCACCCCAGCCAATCCCACCCTAACCCCCTTCGCTCTCGGAGTGTTCTGACCACGCCCTAGCCCCACCACATTTCACATGATATTCTCCATATGTTTTGTGACTTTTCGTCCGACCGTGAAGATAAATTGGCATAAGTTCAGTGGGAAATCCAAATTTCAGGGTTGGTTAGGTGAATCCCGATTTGGGATCGGTCATGTCATTGGGATGTTCCAATGTCTCCCCCCCCCTCGCCGAGTGCGGAGGTAGTTTCTGACCCACTCAAAAATCCTCACACCGCGGTTAATTATGAACCGGAGCCGCTTTCACTTGATCTGCTGAGTAACTACTAACACAAACTTTGTGTGCATTGGTGTGGACAGCTCCTGGATCTGAAAAGTTTAAATTGCCGTGCAGATATTCTCATCACAAGAAAAACAATCCAATGAAGCAGCACTCCTAAAACGACGATTTGGGCACCACCTCTCAAAAGACCAGGGACGCTTCACGGCACTCCGGATCGTGCCTTGCGACCTGACTAGCAGCCCGGCGTTGTCGATCCCTCTTCTTTGGGCTCCTGGTAGCCATGTCAGGGATCTGGTGTGGATGTGAACTATTCAGTTGAAAGGTTGCCTCGTCGGTCCATCATGTTGCCGGCCATTTACATCGTTGGCATCGTTTGTCTCAGGTACAAATGATCATAAGAGTGCGGTGAAAACAGTTTATTCTACATGCGCCTGTATTTCTTAGCAATACGGACGGATAAATATATCACTCATGCAGCCTCACAGCCTCGCACACACATATGCGCTATTCCCAGCGCTCGCCGTCCATCCGTTTTAGTAGTTGCGGGCGGGGGCAGGAACATTATAACGAGCAGGAGCCGGAGCAGGAGCATTGTACTGCCTGGGGGCAGGAGCGGGAGCGCTGTACTGCCTGGGAGCAGGAGCAGGAGCGGGAGCGTTGTACTGCCGAGGAGCAGGAGCAGGAGCCACAGGAGCGGGAGCGTTGTACTGCCGGGGAGCAGGAGCCGGGGCGCTGTAGCGGGCGGGAGCGGGGGCTGGGGCAGAGCCATAGGTCTGCTCGCCCTGGTACACCTGCGGCACGATCGGCAGCGGGTACTCGGTCGGCACCGGCGTCGGCAGGATGTCGCTAGACGGCTGGTAGCCGTTCTCGTCGGCAACAAACGTCACCTGGATGGGGTTGCCGTAGTCGTCGCTGTAGCTCCAGCCACCCTGCTGTACGTAGCCGCCGGTGGGCTGGCCGTACTCGGATTTGCCGTAACCGGCTTTGGGGCTGCCGTTCTCGTTACGTGAGATGCCATTCTCAGTCTGGAAGCTGAACTGGTAGGTGCCGTCGCCCGGGTGGACGTTCTCCTCGCTGAGGATGGCGAGGGGCTGACCGTAGCCGGCCGGCTGCTGGTAGGAGGCCGGTGCCGCCGGCTGCTGGTAGGAGGCTGGTGCCGGGGCCGCCGGCCGCTGGTAGGAGGCGGGTGCCGGCTGCGGCCGCGGGCCATCAGCGCAGGCCAGAGCCGCCAGCGAGGCTACGATCAACTGGAAAAACACCCAAGTGACGTCAGAGCGAGTGCTGATCTGGCAGTGCATGCAGAGGCTGAAATCGCGACGCACCTTTTTACCGTGATAAGACGTAGTTCAGCGCCTTTGTCAGGTCAGTTTCTCTCATCAGTGGATGCAGGGATCAAGGGATAGCTATGGAATATATGCAGCATCTCACAGCGCATTGACTGACGACGTGGCCTTTCACACCGATTGAGGGACTGCTGAAATTGCAGCCTACGTCCGCACGCCTGTTCTGATCTCTTCTGACAAGAGTGGTATCGTGCCAATCTGCCATCCAAGCTAGTTTGGGACGTCAAATTACGCTCCTGATTTTTTATGGTGACCAATTTAAGCAAGCCATGGTAATATTGCGGTTCACCGGAAGGGCTGTATACCCACCTGTTTACTAAACACACTTTGGCTTGGAAAGACACGGAAAAAATGAAAGATGATCAACGACCTTATCTAAAAGACCCTCCCTGGCGCCCCAACTGACAGCACAGACACCGCTGGAATACGAAAGGCATCCCTCATGTGAAGCACCGATCTCCCTGGCCGCACTCACCAGCTTCATGTTTGCCGTGGCGTTGTAAGATGGAGACCACTGCTGGGGAGTGACTGGTGCCTGGTGTCTGTGCGGCCGGCTTTTATTCGGCCATGGGAGGGCGACGCGGTTGGCCGTCACGCTGCCGCCGGCGGCGCTGCCCCACCTGACGCAACGCCCTCTGCAGTGGGCGACCCGTCCAGCCAGGCGACCCGACCACAACCGGCCGCCGGTCCACCGATCTCACGTGAGCCGGCCCGACCCAACGCCGCTTCCAAGGGGGCGGGGACGGCGGCACGGACCACGCACAGAAACATGTTCAGGTTGGAAGCAGAACGGTTAGCAAGTTACTAGGTTTTCTGGTACAGGCGACAGGCTGACGCTCTGGGTTGCGCCACCTTCAGGTCGGCGTCGGAGCGGCACGGCCGCGCAATCGAACACCAGCCAATGATTCGCAGGGAAGCGGCCGATGACGGATGCCTTTTACGTTGTGACTGATGCTGAAAGGCTAGTGAAGATGCTGCACAATTTAGGGAACGATTATGCAAAGATAGCTAATTGCCCGGGCATATTTAAAACACACGTAGCCACGGCGTGGCCCAACAGTGCCTACAAGCATCACATGGACGAATGCGATAAAACACTTAGTCAATTCTTCATCACTTTAAGCCAGATGGGGAGAGTAAATAACGAGAGGAAAACACGCCACTTACGCGAACTGCGTGGGCATGGCCGATTGCGTGTGCTTTGTGATGCCATGAAAATGCTGACGTTGTGCGTGCCCTTAACATGTCGGCCTTGAGTTTTGACTTGTCTCGTAATCCCAATGAGGTCGAAACGCCATCCGCCGCGTGCAGTGCACACTGGCTGCCATCCCGCTGCGTGGCGGCAGCACACGCTCTACAGCTTACCCTGCCGTGTTCATCGCTCACGTGCGGGGTAGATCCCTAGATATCACCGGTTCGGAAAACGTAGCGCAATGGTAGACATGGGCGGGTGTGATGATGAATGAATAAGTTGCTATCGAACGGTTGCCGACGCTTTTTTCGGTTTTCCTGTCCTCGAGAAGAAGGAGCATAGCACGGCGTGACAAGAGCGCTCACTGGCACGGCTGTGGTCGCCGGCTCACCCTCGCTCACGGCATCGTTTGTGTCCGCCGTATGTCATGACATGCAAATATCCCCTATAGTGATGCGTTAGTTACTGCACAAAGAACGGCGAATGGGCAAAGAACTACGCGATGATGCGATAAATTTCCCCCGCGTAGTAATGCTCGGTTAGCGTATGAATGGCAGTGAAAGAAAGGTCGACGAGATATTAAAGACAGATATTGAAGACAACAAATCTTCTACATCTCAAAGACGTTCAGGCGGCTGACAAATTTATCCAATTTAGGTATAAATTATCTGCAAGCTTGCAGTTGGAACATTTTGCAGGGAAATTGATCAGCACTTGAAGCCATAGATGGTGTCTTTAAACATGATCGGAAAAAAGGAAAAATGAAGTTGTATTACAATTGAGTGGAACCAAGAAAAGCCAAAATAATTGGATAAAGATAGAGACTGGAAAATGTTTGGTCAAAATTTGTTATCAGTTAACTGACTAAAAAACTGTAAAAACGGGTGCTCAAGGTGTGATATTCACCTCATAAGTTTCATTAACAAAGCATTTCTTGAATTTTTCACGCCCACATTTCGGGAGTGGTGCAATTAAGTGGTCAAGTTTCTTCGGGTTAAGTTGGCGATGCTAGGACACTGAAGATGGGCATGAGATTCGGACTTAACCTGTCTATTGCTTTCACCTTTCAGTTTTATATAAGAATGAAACTATCCGTACTATCCGCAATACACGCTCTCCAGCTTCCCCTGTCGTGTTCGTCGCTCACGGGCAGGGTAGACACCTAGATGCCACTATGTTCGGAAATCGTGGCGCAATGGTAGGCAGAGCCGGGTGTGGTAATGAATGAACAATTTGCCATTGAACAGTTGCCGGCACTTTTGCAAGTTTCCTGCTCTTGAGAAGAAGGAACATAGCACGGCGTGGCATGAGCACTCACTGGCACGGCTGTGGTCACCGGCTCGCGCCCGCTAACGCCACCGTTTGTGGTCGCGGTGTGTCATGGCATGTAGATATCTCCTGGAGGGATGTGGTAGCCACCGCACGAACAACGGCGGATGGACAAAGAACTACGCGATGATGCGATAAGTTTCGACTGCGCAACAATGCTCCGTTAACGTATGGTCAACGTATGGTCAATGGTCAGTGAATGAAAGGTCAACGAGATATTGAAGATTACGATGCGGTCAGTTCTCCTCAACTGCTTTCTGGTCCTGGCGGCAGCTGCAAATTTGTTTTTCACTAGTGTTTGTATTCAATTGGAAGGCCATCATGTGAAAGAATATTTACTTGTGACCCAGCCCTAAGCCATGTAGTGTTGGGGTACGTGTCACTCTCGACCAAACAGGCTGAAAGGCCCTTTTGACCAGTGTCACACGGCCTGACACCTTGTCACGGTTCACGGTATGTGATGTCCGCATTCTCCAGCTGCGGAGATCCGGCTGGCCACGACCTTAAGACGGTGGAGACGGTTCAGAAACGTCACTTTCTTGCAAAATGTCCTCCGTATCCCGGCCCGCCCTAGCCAGCTAGTGATCTCACCGGCAAAAGCCGGCTGTTCGACAGATCTAACACGGCGTTCACCTGCAAACGTTAGATGAAGGTTATCTTAGTTATCACTGCAGTGCCAGTTTCTGAAGGCAAATTGCAAAGGAGAGGTTGAAATTTGAAACAGCACATAAATAAAAGGTACAGAGATTTTACGGTTGTACCTCATGTCGGCAAGACAAAGGCATAGTCTTCTTAAATAGCCTGCATCAGCTCATGCCTTTGTGCTGGCAAAGCGTAAATAAATTTGGATATTTCAAGTCGTGGGAAGTCTGCTTAGCTCATTACATTGAGCATGGGCCAGCTAATATATGTACAGTTCTAGGAAAGTGCAGGCACATTTCTTCCCATACAGCCACTGGAACTCGACAGTTTTACTCCTTCTATTTCACAACCTTCGAATGTGCAGCAACAGCGGCGATGCCATATTCGTATTGGAGTGTCAAACTCGGGATCTTATATGTTGTGTCTGATGTGCTTAGAGGGACGCATCATTCAACAGCATAAGGTAAATTCACCTTGTTGGTTATTATGCTGCGTACAGGGGACAATTTTTAGCATAGAACTTGCTTTTTACCTTCATTTCCTACGAAGTGTTTACTCTTGGGTGCATATCAAGTAGGTTTGGGTGGCTGGCGAAGGAATCAAATTTGTGTATGAAGTATAAGCAAGTTTGCAGTTGGAACATTTTGCAGAGAAATTGGTCAGCATTTTAAGCGATAGGTGGTGTTCATAAAGATGATCAGAAAGGAAGGCAAAATGAAGTTGTATCACAATCGTATGGGACCAACAAAAATGAAAGCAATTACATAAAGATAGACTTAGAGTTGTTTGGTCAAATTTTGTTGTCAACTAACTCGACTAAAAATTTCTGAAACTCAGTGTTCAAATTGAGATACTTAGCTTTTGGTTTGCATTTAGAAGGCATTCCGGAATTTTTTCACTCTTGCATTTTGGGAGTGGTACGTGTGACCACTGTTGAGACTGGTGGTGAGTGATGTTTAGTGTAGTGGTGGTTCAGTGGTCAAGTTGCTTCGGGTAAAAGAAATACGTGGGGTAAATTCCCTACCACGCTTTGCTGGTGTTTGTATCAGGCTTTTCATTGTTGTGTTGTGACCCCCAAAAACTGAGGGTGCGTGAAAACCTTGCATTTGACACACAGCTGAAGATTGTTATGCATTTTGTGAACAAACCAAACTTGATATCTGGAAGTGGCTGGAGTCGCTGACACTCTCGAGCTTGAAGGTACCTGATGCCCTTGCTCTGTGCATACATAGGCATGATTCAGATGTAGGTGAGGCAAGATATAGCCATGGGTGTCCAGGTTCTATGTAGCCTTGTGTGTGCTTTATGGTTTCAAGTAAGCTCGGTTTTGGGTGGCACCTTAGAACCTCTGAAAGGGAACTATGGGTTTGGCATCTGTGGTTGGGCAATATCAGGTAGGACTGAAAATTAACATAAAATATCGGGAAAGGGGGTGGAAAATGTCTCCTCGTAGGGTGTTGCTTTACACTCGAAGTCGGCAATTCCTAGACACTGGGCGTGGGTACGGGGATGCATATTTAACCTATATACTGTCTTCACATTTCAATTTCATACAACAATAAAACTACTCGTGCTACCCAAAACTTAAATAGGTTTTCGTCACGATGTCCCACTGATTGGATGGCCGGTGCGGGCTACCCGCTTTCTGCTGCGCGGTAGTCTTGCTGGAAGCATATCTGCCTCGGCAACTACTACTAGATTCGGTAGAATCTTAGTTGGTGTGGTGCATTGGTGGAGTTAGAATCCGCCCTCACGATAGAAACGGTGTTCCCCTCAATAACAATAGCTATGGACACCCGTGGAAATGCTGGAGCATCCGCTGTTGCCGGCTTGGCGCAGCGGCACGGACGAGGAGCGGTGCTTAGCGGTACAGCATATCGCACAGGGGGCCGAACACGCGGTTGGTCGGCCTTGACGATGAGTGAGTGTGGAAGGCTGCCGGCATGGAGCACGCGGCCAATAACACGGCGGACAGCGGAGCAGGCACGTGGCCAAGAGCACGAAGGACGACGGCGCAGGCACGCGGACAACAGCGCGACGAACAACGAACAACGGCATAGACACGCGGACAAGAGCAAGACGGACAATGGCGCAGGCACACGGACAAAAGCATGGCGAACAATGGCACAGGCACGCGGAGCGCCAGTCCTGTGCGGTCCAGCGGCTGCAGTAGTCGGGCTCTGGCACGTACAGCTTCATAGATTAACTTGATTTCCGTGATTGTCACGGATATCTGCATGCATTTGGTCACAGTTACTCCTTCCTTTATCTTCACTTACAAATTTGTGGTGACCACTGCGCGGGGTTCCAAGCTTCCTCTTGGTCTTTGGGCAGGTGGTACATGCCCCCTTTGCCATGCTCTTACATTGTTCCATGAGGAAGATTTGGAAGGATGGAAAGCTTTCAGGCTCGGGGCACGTCAGCTAGAGTTCAGAAAGACGATCAGTTATACAGGTCAGCCCGAGTCACGCAATGGTTATTGACAGAATGCCAGAGAACGTCCGGCAATAAACAATGATACGCTTGCAATGTTGGTAGCAGAAAATGTGTTGTATCATTAGCTATGTTAAAAAAACATATTGTGCGCAAGGGCCTCATCCTTGTCACCAGGCGACCAAACCATACCACTACTGACTTCGATGACTGACGGTCGCAGAAGCCGACGGAGGCCTGGAGGCGTTTCCTGCGTCTGAAGAACTTGTAGTGTAGTGAACTAAAAGTGTATTGATCCGTTTGTCTGAGAGCTCAAGACCACGCTGCCGTTTACGACGTGGGTCCACGCGTCCATGACGTTCAGCAGGTTCGGGGAAAGTGGTCCTCCGATATCATCCAAGACGGGCCAGTGCATTTGCAGGCCTGCCCTGACCTCTTCGCCAAGACGGAAACGCTCCACAGAGACAAAAAGCCCGCGCTCTCGAAAGCATCTAAAGCGCAAGATCTGCATCAAGAGCCTCTCGACTCGGACGCTTCCGCACGTCCTGGTGGCGCCTCTTAAGCGGTTTTCTAGAGAAGGCGTTGCTAGAGAAGTCGAAAGGCCAGCTCAATGTTATTGTAAATTTCTCCGTCAGTGGCCTGAATCTCTCGCCCGACTCCGCCTGAAAGGCGTCCTGCAAGTACAACCTGTGCGACAGGGCCTCCCATTCTGACGCCCAACTCCGCCGGACAAGCGCCATGCAAGTACAATCTGTGCCCCCGCAGGGGTACCGCCTTCGGCCGGTGTAGGGAACTAGCACCCCCTCGGGTCTCAGCTCCGGTAACGGGTGGACAGCGCGAGCTGTTCCTCTCAGGGCGTAGTGACCCTGCCGGTACGTGAGCTCCTGCTCATTATCCCGCCCGCTCTCTTTCCATACCCGCTCTCCCGCATCCGGCTCACTCATCACTCCTAATGCTCGTTTCATCCGGGTCGCCGTGCCCCCTCACCCACGTCCCCGGGTTGATCGGATCCTGGTGGCTGAGGGACGCCTCGTGCGGGCCAGTCATGGCGCTCCCCAACACTCCACTTTGGCCAGGATATCCGGGGGCATGGGAGGCACGTGGGGACCCACACAGGTCTAGCGGCGTGTTGCTCGTGCTGCGGCTGGGTGCTTCGTGCGGGTCTCCGCTTGGGGTGCCAGGCCGTGCGCAGCGGCTTAAGGGGTCAAGGTACGGCGGCGCTGAACCACGGTCAGGACGGGGAGGGGTCTCCCCGGTTACACCTGGCCGTGTGGGAGGCGTCGTTCGCCTTGTATAGCACTGGGGTAGCCTTTGCAGCGACCACTTCTCGAGGGAGTGTTGGACCGTCCTCCAGCTGGGCGCCGTGGTGGGTAGGGAGCCCCGGTGCCGAAGCCTCACTGAAATTTGCATAGTACCTTATAACCAAAAAAAACACCCGACCCCCGAAAGGGAGAAGGACCACGTTGGCCATAGCTAACCGTACTGTCGCATCAAGTCTGCCTGTGGGAAATGCGCTTCTTCCGAGCACACAACGGAACTATGCTACGAAATTATATAACGGAACTATGTTGTTTGGACGAACTGGGCGCTGAACTCCAATCTGGCAGCCCTGGCTCACCCTTCCCGCTGGAGCGGTCGAAGGAGACCGTGCTGCCAACCTCCTCGTCCCCCGGGGGAGGTTCGCCGTCGGTGGCAGAGAACGGGGATGGACGGTAGTTCGGCGTGGCCGGGGTAACCAGGCGCTATTGGCTGCCCTCTTGTCTGCCAGCCCGACGACTAAAGCAACCTTGGCGAACGCGTGCTCGCGAACGGCAGAGACGCTAAGGCGTTACGAGGCAGACGGCGCGCCCGTGAGGCGAAGCGGGCACGCCTGGCAGACCAAGGGCGTGCCAAGACAGCCAACCGGCTGTCTGGAGCGGACCAGGTGACCGCTCCAACGGAGGAGGCCCCCCGCCGCCCCGAAAGCGCGTGGAAGCTCCCGCAGGCCCCTCCGACCCCAGATGGAGGCAGTTCCCGAATCCGCGTCAGGATCCGCCCGGTCTCTTTGGCAACGGGCTCTGAAGACAGGACCAACATCCATCGGCCGGGCTCTAGCGCTGCTGAGTTCTTTTAAAACATTACGGTGCTTTTGAAGCCTCCTCGTTCAATTTCTCTTACAATGAAACTGTAGAGGTGTAAGTTCAATCACCCAGGACTTGCAGACAGTTTTAAGCGCGCACTGCCAGATAGCCGTGTGTCTCCGGGAGACAAAGTTGGCGCCTGGTGCGGGCTCCAGCCTGAAAGGTTACACCACCTTCCGCATTGACATGGCAACAGACACCGTTGCTCGACTCTGCGATGCCAAGACTCTGCGCGTCTGGGAAACCAGAGGTACGGGGTTCGATTCCCCGCGGTGCCCGCCCTTCCTGCCAGGGTGAGAGGCAGGCGACGCCATATAGCCTCAGCAGCTGAGTGCGTCGTAAAGCCCCAATCACACACACACACACACACACACACACACACACACACACACACACACACACACACACACACACACACACACACACACACACACACACACACACACACACACCGTTGCTTACGGTGGCGCTCTGTTAGCTGTACACCAAAGCGTACCTACACAGCGACTGGTGTTAATAACAGGCTTGCAAGCCGTCGCAGCAACGGTGAATTTTAACCTCCGCACCAGAGCTGTCTGCCTTCCCTTCTTATCACCTGGGGCCCCGTTTCCATCTGCGGAACTACGAGAGTTAGCCTCTCAACCTCCTCCACATCTGCTGGTTTTAGGCGATTTTAATGCACATCATACTTTATTTGGGTGTGCTGCCACGAACACCCGCGGTGAGCTATATAAGGTTTTCGTGCGTAACGAAGGCTTGTGTGTTTTAAATACAGCAGCAAGAGCTCATTTGGTATTGCTATCAGGACGATCGTCAGTGCTAGATCTGAGCATTTGTAGTCCGCAGTTGGTACCAGACTTCACTTGGGATGCTTCAGAGGACCCCTCGGAAGTGACCATTTTCCAGTTTGGGTTCGGTACCGTTATGGTACTGTTCTTGGTGCTCAACCTCAGCATTGGAATTTGAAGAAGGCGGACTGGAGCGGACTTGAGACCCGCCTGGAGGAAATCTTTTCCAACGATTTCGACTCTGCGACGCCCAGTGGGGAGGAATTCACGCCTCTTGTTCTTGGCGCGGCGAACTAATACATTCCGCGTACCTTTGGATGTCCTCGTCGTATCCCTGTACCTTGGTGGAACGACGAGCGTCATGACGCCATTCGCGTAGGTCGGAGAGTTTTTAAGGCTTTTGACCGGCACCGCACTACATTCAACCTCATGGCTTTCAGGCAAGCACGCGCGGCCGCATGCCGCACCATACGGGAGGCGAAACGTGCATCATGGAGCAGCTACTTCAACTCACTGAATCATCACACGCCGACGTCACATGTATGGGGCAGCATTAAAGTAATCTCTGTATCGCACCCAGCAGTTTCACTTCCCGTACTGCGACTGGGAATTCAAGACGTCACTCACCCAAGTGATGTCGCAGAAGCCATTGGGGAAGCCTTGTCGGACCGTTGCCGAAATGGCACCTGCGATCCACAATTTCTGCGGCACAGGACGCGATGTTGCTTCGCAAGTTATTTTTATACAGGTGACGTACTGACATACAACAAGCGTTTCACTATGATGGAACTTCAAGCAGGCATTCGCTCACTGCTTAGAGTAGCGGAGGGGCCCGACCTCATCCACAATGGCATGATACGCCATTTTCCTCCCCGTATACTACGAGCGATGCTGGCACTTTTCAACTGGATGTAGGAGTCAGGTAACTTCCCGCCAACTTGGCGAGAGGCCACAGAAGTGCCTATTTTAAAGCCCGGGAAAAGTGGAACAAACGCCCTTGACTATCACCCGATCGCCCTTGCATCTTCGCTTTGTAAGGTCATAGAAAGGATGGTGAATATGCGACTCTCATGGACTTAAGAACGTCAAAACTTATTTACGAATGCTTGTGTTGATTCCGTGAGAACAGGAGCACGATTGACTAGCATCTTAACTGTTGACACCCCAGTGTGGGCCGGGTTTGTTAGCAAACCTTATACCGGCGCCATCTTTTTTGACATAGAAAAGGCTTATGATGCCACATGGAGACATGGCATTTTGATGAAGTTATTCGATCGTGGTATCCGCGGTCACATGGGAAAGTTTTTGCAAAGCTTTTACACCGACATATTTTTCGGGTGCGTGTTGGTTCTTATCCTCTGACAGGTATTCGCAGGAAAATGGTGTACCTCAGGGCATCGTATTAAGTGCCATTCTTTTCACAGTGATGATTAACTATATAGAGGACAGACACGCTTCCACATGAGATCAGCCGTTCTCTGTTCGTAGAGGAATTCGCTATTTAGTGCAGGTCATCGACCACTTGCACAGCGGAGCGACAGCTGCAGCTGGCTACCACACGTCCGGAGAAGTGGAGTGTGCTCAACGGGTTCTAGTTTTCCGCATCGAAGACAACTGCAGTTCATTTCTGTCGCCGTCGCCGTCACTGTCCTGAAATGGAAATCAGACTGCATGGGCAACGCGTCGCAAATGGGAATACCGTGACATTTCTCGGTATACGGTTTGACCGATGCCTAGCATACCGAGAGCACATAAGAAATCTCTGCGACAGGTGTTTAAAATCTCTTAGCATCCTAAGGTGTGTGTGCCGTACATCAAACGGTGCTAATAGGAGGACGCTCTTACTCCTGTACCGTTCCCTGATTCGTTCAAAACTTGACTACGGCTGTGTTATGTATGACGGTGCTTCAGACCTGATCAAACGTACTTTGAACACGGTGCGCCACGCAGCACTAGGCATCGCCACAGGGGCTTTCGAACATCGCCCATAGGTAGTCGTCTCGTGGAAGCTCACGGGCCCCTACTAGCGTTGCGAAGGCTGATGGTAGGACTGCGCTAGGCGATCACGCTGGCGCAGTTCCCAGATCATTCCACCACAAAGCAGTGTTTTCGCGTAGCTTACAAAGGCTTTTTCTACTTCAAAGGTCGCCACAGACTTCTCCCTTTTGTGCACGAATGCAAGAAATTCCAGACGCGAGCGGCTTCAGCCTACGACGTGTCATCAGACCTAAACTCATTACGGCTGCTCCTTGGGAGCTAGTTTCGCCAAGATTGGATGCTTTGCTATCAAACATGCAAAACCAACGCGTTCTCATGACGGAAGTTGAAGACGCAGCCTTACAGCCTATGGCCTCCTTTGACGGATACGTGATGACTCATACGGATGGTTCAAAGGTGGATGCAGGTGTCAAGGGGGCTTTTGACCGTGCATCCGCATCACGGTCGTTAACACGGCCTGCACACGTGGCGGTCTTCACTTTCGAGCTCATAGTCATCAGCGAAGATCTCTGTTTTATTGAGATAGACGATAGCACTTTGTACTTGATTTTTTCCTGCTAGCTGTTGGTGGCTTCTCCTCGTCGAATCCACTAGTCTAGGACATTCAATCGCGTCTTTGCTCGCTGGATCGAGCAGGAACAACGGTCATGCTCTGTTGGATCCCAACTCACGTGGAGATCCACGGGAATGATCTTACTTACGCGGCAGCAAAACGCGCTACGACAGGGACCCGCATTCTTATAACACCACTGCCAGTTCAAGACATGTACCCCGCAGTGTCGTCGTTTATGCAGAAGCGATGGCAGTTCCACTGGAACTCGCTGGGCGCCAACAAGCTTAAGTCAGTGAAACCCCGTACTGGACTATGGCGGTCGTGTTTTCGCGACAAAAGAAGGGAGTAAGTTGCCATTTGCCGGTTACGCATAGGACGCACATATCTTACGCACCGTCACCTGTTACTGGCTGGCGACAGACCACGCCGCAGTCGATGCTCTGACCCGCTTACCGTGCAACACGCATCCGTGGCCTGCCGTCACCTTACTGCAACAAGAGTGCAGTTTTTCGGATACAACGTCTAGGGTCGCACGCTATGTCACTTTTTAGGGAATTGTTCGCGTGCTGTCGAGTATGGTTAAGTGTTCCAGTTCCTTCACGCCGTAGATCTCCCAGTAATCTTTTCATCATGATACCAGGCCTGATCATCAAGGCTTTATAGGGTGATCTGAATGATATACTTGTCTTAATTTTCTACACTTTTCATCATCAAGTACAACCTGTGCGACAGGGCCAGCCATGCAAGGCGACTACCAGCCCGGCGTTGTCGATCCATCACCTAGGGGTTCCTGGCAGCCCGACCGAGGATCTGGTCGGGATGCGAACTACTGGATGGAAAAACTGTCTTTTCAGCCCATCATTTTGCTGACCATTTATTTCTTTAATATAATATGCCTCAGCTGCACATGGTTATAAAGGTGCGGTGAACACATCTCATGTTGCACGCGCATGTATTTTAAGCAGTACCGGCGCATAAATATATCACTCATGCAGCCTCACAGCCTCTCACACTCGTTTGCAACACTCTCAGCACTCCCCGCCCATCCTCTTCAGTACTTGCGAGCAGGGGCAGGTGCATTGTAACGAGCCGGGGCTGGAGCAGGAGCGTGGTACTGCCTGGGGGCAGGAGCAGGAGCGGGGGCGTTATACTGCCGAGGAGCAGGAGCAGGAGCCGCAGGAGCGGGAGCGTTGTACTGCCGGGCAGAAGGAGCCGGGGCGTTGTAGCGGCCAGGAGCGGGGGCTGGGGCAGAGCCATAGCTCTGCTCGCCCTGGTACACCTGCGGCACGACCGGCAGCGGGTACTCTGTCGGCACCGGCGTCGGCAGGATGTCGCTAGACGGCTGGTAGCCGTTCTCGTCGGCAACAAACGTTACCTGGATGGGGTTGCCGTAGTCGTCGCTGTAGCTCCAGCCACCCTGCTGGACGTAGCCGCCGGTGGGCTGACCGTACTCGGATTTGCCGTAGCCGGCCTTGGGGTTGCCGTTCTCGTTACGTGAGATGCCGTTCTCGGTCTGGAAGCTGAACTGGTAGGTGCCGTCGCCCGGGTGGACGTTCTCCTCGCTGAGGATGGCGAAGGGCTGGCCGTAGCCGGCCGGTGCCGCCGGCTGCTGGTAGGAGGCTGGTGCCGGGGCCGCCGGCCGCTGGTAGGAGGCGGGCGCCGGCTGCGGCCGCGGGCCATCAGCGCAGGCCAGAGCCGCTAGCGAGGCTACGATCAACTGGAAACACACCCAACTGACGTGAGAGGAGTGCCGACCCAGCGGTGCAGCAAGGGGTGAGATTGCGGCGTATTATTTTACCGTGACAAAACGCAGTTTGGCACCTTTTGCCAGACCAGCTTCTTTCATTAAGCTCCTCCCGTGGATGCAGGGTTGGCAATGGATAGCTATGGAATGTGTGCAGCATCTGACAGCGCCATAACTGGCGACGTGGCGTTTGAGACTGATCCAGTGACTGTTGAAATTGGAGCCTGACGTCCGCACGTCTGCCCTGATAGCGTCTGGCCAATGGGGTATGGTGCGAAAGTTTTGGATGTCACATTTCCCTTCCGTTGATAACATTCGGGTTAACATGAGGGTACGTTGATAACATTCAGCCAGTCCTAATATCCTTGTTGTTTGCCAAAATAGCTTCATACGCAATCGTTTAGATTCCATGGTACCAAACTAAAAGTACTCTTACACTGAAGACTGTTTGACTAACCCGAACACGTGAAGAAACGGACGCCCATCGACATCGACTTTGCTAGACCTACCACGACGCCCAAGTGGCTGCACAGGCGCCCGCTGTAATACGATGGGCAACCGCCATATGAAGCACCGACCTCGCTGGCCGTACTCACCAGTTTCATGTTTGCCGTGGCGTTGTGAGATGAACACCACCGCTGGCGAGTGACTGGTGTCTGGTGTCTGTGCGGCTGGGCTTTTATTCTGCCGCGGGAGGGCGACGCGGTTGGCCGCCACGCTGCCGCAGGCGGCGCTGCCCCACTTGACGCAACGCCCTCTTATTATTTTTTTTTTAGATTCTCATCCCTGAATGGTTCTCGCGACCAACGACAAACTAGGCTTCGTTCGACCAGAATTTAACCTCCTGGAGGCATGGGACGGTACATAGGAGGGAGGGGGTGGGGTCGAGAGTAGCTCTAGGCGGAGCTAAGCCGCCCACATCCGTCTAGCAAGGAAGGAGAGGAGCCAGACGCTATCTTATTTGACTCCACATCTGTGGTCTTGGCCGCTACTTCCATCAAGATAATGAATAGTTGCGCTGTGTGGGCCCGGATCTTGGAGCAATGTCATGCTGCGGAGACACACTGGTTCTGAGCTATATCCATGACTGCACGAAGATGTACCGTGCCGTCATGCAGCATGGTCTGGCAGGTCCGCATGGACCTTGCCAATTCCCTTCCACTTGAGAGCAGTCGAGTGGGGATATTGTGTCGATAGAGCTCCTTTGCCCTTCCGAAAGATCTGAGTGATGCTTGGCCAGGATGCAGGTGCTGTTGGCTAATGCTCAAGCAGTAATCAGCAAATAACTAAATCAGTGTCTAAGTTGTTTTGACACGCTGGTTACGCTGACACGCTGTTTCTGAGCAGCGGTAGCCGCTAGGACATACCACGCGGGGGTCTTCGATTTGGACCGCTTTGCCAAATGGACTACAGTCTCCCTAACAAATCTCATGAAATCTCCCCAGACCTGCCAGGGATATTTGGAAGGGCAGGCTGGGACCGGTGCCAGTTCTGAATGCACTCCCACTTCGGCGTGTCGTTAAGTAACCACGCCTCTTAAGACTCCGTCAGGCCTGATTTCCTGCAGACGCCAGACCAGACCAGACGCCCAGGAGGAGACAGGGATCCATCTCTCGACACTGGCTCTACCGAGGATGTTCCAGGGTCACGGGACTGGGGTCCCGCGGGAACGCCCAGGAGGAGACAGGGATCCATCTCTCGACACTGGCTCTACCGAGGATGCTCCAGGATCACGGGACTGGGGCCCCGCGAGAAGGGGAATACGAGCATTGCTTGATTTTCGCCGTGGTCTGGTGAAGTGATATTTCTGGATCCACTAGAGGAGTTTTAGCTCGGCGTCCAAAAAGGGCTGGGAGGGGAGCAAAGAGAAAGTGCTCCGGGAATAGCGTAAGAGGAAGGAATATTCTCAGCGAAGGGAGGAGAGTCTTGATAGCATCCGGGGTTTCCACGGGGTCAACGTCAGGACCCTTTCGAGTTTGAATGGATTCATAGGTATCCGACAGGAGCTTGGGCAGATCATCGGGAGCCTCGGTCACAACATGGTTGACTGTTGTTTCGGTTTTTTCTTATGCGCTGGGCAAAGAGGGGCTCTCATTCATCAATCAGATCGGACCAGCGGGTCGAGAACCCAGTGAGTTGGGCGGTCTCTTCGAGTCCTAATCGCTGAAAGAATGACGCCGCACTGATGTGGTCTTCCTCGACTGCTGCGAGGTATGTGTGGAGATGAGATGAGGAATGTGCTTCCCTGGAGGCGTGCCTTCTCAGTTTGTCGAATTTCCCTGTTGGTCGTCTTTCAGGGCCGAGGCTTCTTCCCGCGCTTGAGCAATCTGCCTCCTGAGCTCAGCGGAGGCGGAGGCCAAAAATTGAGCCTTCGTCTTCGCATACCCTCAATCGCACTGCTCTGTGCTCCAGAGACAGGCCGGATGCTTGTTCAGAAGAAGGGATCTCACTGCGTTCTGTTCTGCAGAAGGGAGACGGCGGATATCATGATCTATCCCCGTGGTATCATATCCTACAGCAGATCACATGTCACCTCCACCGATAGATCCGGGAGAAGACCAAGCAGCTTCGACACGAGTGGCTGACCTTGAGCCGACGCCATCTTCCGCGACACCCCTTCCAGGTTGAAATCTCAAAAGGCCTGACGTTTGTCTTCGGTGCCCAGATGCCTGCCGTGGTAATGAGCGCCCAGGTAGACAAGAATGAGGAATCTTGCTTGTGATCACCCTCAGGAACCTTCACGTCCTTTCCGATGTATGGACCACCCTCCACCGGCCCACGGTTTTCCTTCAGGTGACGCACCTGCGATTCAATGCGCGGGGCTGCTGTCAGGTTGTTGGAGTCCGGGGTATCTATGACATGGGGGACACAGTGTACAACATGCGGGACACAGTGCATAGTTGTGCTCTGGTGCAGCTGGTTGATCAGCATCATCTGGCTTCGAAGCTCTCGGAAGATAGCTGGCAGGGTTGGGAGGCTCGGGACCTGCTACACATCGGGTAGGTGAGCCTTGTGGGCCGTGAAGTCATAAACCCCTGCACAATGGACAGCCACCACCCTGCCGAGAAGAGCTGTCACCTCCCCGTTGATGTTGTGGAGCGGGCCGGCTATCTCAGGCACGGGGCTCAGAGGCAGGCTTCTTCACGTGTGTCCAATCGCGAGCTGCCAGATCCAGGGCCGCGTAGGCTGCGCTCACGCGGATCCGAATCTGGTCCGTGATCCTCTCCGGACTAGCCATACCCAAGGAGGCAATCAGCAGCTGAGGCGACAGACCGTGATGTGACCTCCTAACTATCCACAGTCCGTACCCTAGAAGGCAAGCAGCAGCTGAGGGGAGAGTGACATAGAAATATAGGGGCCGCACGGGCTCCGTCATTTTTCTTCGTCAGGCTCCCGTGCTCCTCCGCCTCCCTGCGCGTGAGAGATTTGAATATTCGAGGGAGGTTGTGACGTGTGCAGCGCGATCACAGTGGAGGCAGCTCTTGATGTCCCAGAGATGTCTTAAGTTTATACTTAGAGGAGCTGATAAGGCTTAACAACGTAAGTCAGAGTCGTGTTGATGGCGCTGGCCGTAATTCCCGGAAACGGCTTAGTTCCCAGCCTCTCTGTGGCCAGTGTTCCGATACATGACAAGAACGATCCGGGATGGCAGGTGGCTATGTTAGCCACGACCATCCCATCGGTGAGATACTCACCAGGGATAAGCAGAATTCCAATGCAAGGCTTCTTGCCTCTGGTAACCAGCCTTTGGTACCAGAACGAAACATTACCTGCAAGTCCTCGGGAAATCCAACGTCTTTCTGTGCGCAAGGGTAGATATGGGGTCGTTTATGAGCTCAAGATGGAGGGCAACTTTTTAGGAGACTCAAGAGTTGACGCTGCAGTTCTCGTTCAAGTCAGGGGCTCCTAGATGTCCGTAACGACATGAGACAGTCTTTGCTCCTCTTCTTCTCGGGGTCCATGCTGGCTGGATGTCTTTGATGCGATAAGTCTCACGACGGACTAGTTGAGAGACTATCGTCTCGATCCCACGCCCTCGGCAGCGGGCGCCCTCGTCCAGCCAGACGACCCGACCACAAACGGCCGCCGTTCCACCGATCTCACGTGAGCGCCGCTCCCGAGAAGGCGGGAGCCGGCGATGGGGCGGCACCGCTGCGGAAGCGAACACCAGCCGATGGTTCGCAAGGAAATGGCCCGGTCTGGGAAGGCAGCAGACGCTGTATGCTGTCGGATTCGATAACGGACGTACTCTGCAGTATGTTTCGCGCAACGGTATCACCAGGAACGGGCGCCTTTCACATTCCGATTGATATTGGAAGGTCATGGTTACAGGTTTTCAACGACGCTCAATGCATTCTTATAAAGAAGGCTTGTTCGTCCACGTTTTAGTTACGCGCTTTTCGTGACGTGCTAAAGAGCGTGTGCAGATATTACATATTGGAATCCAATTAAATCAGGGGATGGAGTTATCGTCACTTTTAGCCTGACGAGAGCATATACTTCAACAGAACAAGCTTATGGCACCAAACTGTTTAGTTTGGCTTGTGCAGCGGGCCACGACAAGTCTGTGGAGGTATGCGTCCGACCCTCGTTTGGTTTGGTTTGTGCAGCGTGCCACGAAGCCAAGTCTGCGGAGGTATGCGTCCGGCCCTCGATATACCGGCCGTGAGCGTTGGCTTGAGTCACGAACGCATCAACAACTGCCCCATCCGCCGTGCACACTGCCGATGCTGGTCTGGCACCCCGCTTCATAGCGGTGGCATGTGCTCGTCAGCTCGATTTGTCGTACTGGTCACCCACAGGAAGGGATGCTGCTGAGATGTTACCGTTTAGGGCACATGCAGTGCGACGATACATGACTTGGCGTAATTATATGTTGTTATATGGCCATGGCACAGTCGCCGGATTATAATGGATGTGCTTTACTGCTTTTAAGGAGCATAGCACGGCGTGGCATGAGCACTCACTGGCACGGCTGTGGTGGCCGGCTCACGCCCGCTAACGCCATCGTTTGTGGTCGCGGTATGTCATGACATGTAAACATCCCCTATAGTGATGTGTTATCCACCACACAAACAACGGCGGATGGACAAAGAAACAATGCGATGATGCGACAAAGCTCATCTTCGGAACAACTGTCCGATTGCCGAATGACTTGCAATGAAAGAAAACCCAACGAGATGATGAGGATGAAAGAACGGTGCGATCGGTTATCTTCTGGCCCTCGTGACAACCGTAATTTTGTGTTTCCCTGGTGCCTGTTTTGTGTTGGAAAGCCACCACGTGAAAGGAGATTTCCTTGAACCCCAATCCCAGACCGTACAACATGTTCAACGCACATGTAACTCTCGACAGAACGGGAAGAAAGGCCAAGGTGTCCCGCGTGTTCTCCCGACGGCTGTTAGCTGTGTGCACTGAACAGTAGCCGGTCTTCTGAGCAGTATCACACGACCGGACGCCGTGTCACGGTACATGGCATGCACTGCTCACATCAGCCAGCCGCGAAGGTCCTGACCGTAAGACGGCGGGTACGGACACACGCATGGCCGTGCGGAGGGCACCATGGCTCACACCGCATTTTTATCGCAAAAATGTGCTGATCGACCGGACCTCTGCTACGCCAAGCAGAGAACGCCACTGGCGTGTCGTTAGGCTTTAACTGTTCAGAGACGCTCCTGTGTTGGTTCTTTTTTTGCAGTCGCTTACGCTATTTATGTAGGGTTTTTTTGGTGTCGCTTCCCAATTTATAGCAACGGTTCCCGGGATGACCAATCGCCCATGCGTAGACCGTACACTTCACCCACTCGTGGAATTATTTGTGGTTTGTGGCCTGCCTTCGGTCATATGTTGGCTGTCACCAACACATCGCCGCCTTCCAGAAGACCGTGGTATTCTGTTGTTTGTAGACAGGGCTGTGCCAATTGGTTGCTGACGAAACCAAGTTGCCTCTCCATCTCCATTGTTTCCGTGTTCCACTTGTTCCCCCCAGTGTCTCCAACAATGTGACAGCTGCACGGTCGTGGTATTGCCAAACTGCGGCCAGCCCCGGGAGTGCCCAAACAGCGGCCTCTAAAATGACCAGAATTGAAGCCTGCAATGGGTAAAACGTCGTACCGGCGACGCGCAGCGGGCGCCCCCGCCCCGACACGCCCGCACGGGACTGCGTTGCACAACCCCCGGCCGGCTCGGGCACTGGCGCGGCTCTTCGGCGTGAGAAGACCGCCGATTGCTGGATGCTATCCGAATGTGTGCGTCTCGCCGTCTTATTCGCTGTGGCCGTGGCCCGTTGACCCAGGTATCAAAACTGGCGCCGTCTGCTCTGGAGATCGGGCTGCCACTTCCTAGCAACTGCTGTTTTGGTGTCCTTCCGTCATGTCTGAATTGGCCGAAAGGGTTTTGTTTATGTTTTTGCTCAACTTCCTCTTACTTTCCCCGCCTCGTCTTGGGGCAATTTTGGCGCCAGTTTCCCCATAAAATCTGAAGATTTTTAAACCAGGCCATAAATCAAGAATCACAGAAGTTCAGAACATGATGTTGACATGAAGTTTGTCTCTCATTGTGGCACACGCGTCATGTTTTACTTCTGCGAAGCTGGAACGAAAACATCCAGTTAGTTATGTTCTTTTATTTAAACGGTCTATGCAGCGGCTATAAGCAGCCTAGTTAAGACGTGCAATATGACAGTGCCACGGCGCTGACACGGGGTGCTAAATCAGTACCGACGGCGCCAAAACGGGACCCGAGCTGGCAATGTCGAAACTTGACCCGTAGTTAACGGAAAATGCCGGGCGGTGTTGGATGCATGGAAGGCTGGTGACGGTGGTGATCTAGACAAAGCTTGCCGGCTGCAGACCAGCACTCATGTGTCTGGTGTTGGTACTAGGTCCCTAAAACACATTACGTCTCTGGTCCGCGCGTCCACGGGAACGGCGTGACCATGCGGCCATTACAGCTAATTGGCCTCGGTCAGTTTACGGCCGTTGACTCCGGGTCAGGTGCACCACATTTTCGCAATTCGCTGCGTCCGCTCGTCGTGATTGGCGGCACCGATGGCGCGAGACGAGTGGAATTGGCGCGCCGTGGCGGCGGTGCGTGACCTTGACTCTGGTGCTGGGGTTGGGCGCGGCCCTGGCGGTTGGCGCCACGTTAGGTCACCAGTTGCACGCCATTTGGCAGGCGGCGGCGCGGTGGCACGATGGTCGGGGTGCGCCGGCGGCGAAGGAGCGGGATGCTAGCCATCACTGGACGTAGTGCCGCGCCAGGGCAGCAGCCGTAACCGATAGGATTCAGGACTGGTGCTGGTCCGGGGTCGGATCCAGAAAAGGTGATGGGGTTGATCATTCAGTGTAAGCCGCGGAAAGAGAGAGAGGGAGAGAGAGAAAGAGAGAAAGGCAGGAAGAGGGAGAGGGAGGGGAGAGGGAGAAGGAGGGGTAGGGAGAGGGAGGGGAGAGAGATTTTGACATATATCTATATCTATATATATATATATATATATATATATATATATATATATATATATATAATACGCGCCAATTCACGCACACCTGCCAAAAATGGTTGTACGTCGCCTGCAGGTCATCCCCGCTGGAAGGGTGAGATCATCGCGGAGAATCGATACCCTGTGACTCTGACTGGCACCCTGGCTTGTTTGCCGTTGACATGTATTTGCCCGGTAGACTGGCATGTCTGCGCGGGATGTCTTGCATCCGTTTAGCAGTGCGTTGCCATTCAGTTAGTCATGGGATTGTGTGCGTCGGCTGCTTGTACAGGGTTGCCCGGGGAGGCTTGAATGAGTGTCTTGCACGTCATTGTCTTACAGACGGCTGTCTTACAAGGTGCTACGGGGTGTCTCGCAATGCTGCTCATAGTTGTCTTCCAATGTTATTCAAGGTGTTTAACGCATCCTCGTCTAGCATTTTCGTCTCGCCAGGTCGCATGGTTTTGCCTCAATGTCGCTCAGCGTATCTTGCACGCCGTCCTGTTTCAGGGTTACACCAGGTTCTTGCATATCGTCTTGCTCTTGGCTGTCTTGCTAGATTGCGCGGTGGCTGTCCTGCACGTAGTGCTCTGACATAAAGTCATATTTCATAGAATTGTCCTGCAACGTTGCACGTTGTCTTGCACGTCGTGCTCTTGCACTGCATTCTGGTTCAAGGTTTTACTCTGATATATCACACGTCGTATTCTACCACAAGGTGTCTATGAAGATTTTACCGGATAACATGCACATTGCCGTCTTGCACGCCGTTACCTTTTTGCACGGTTGTCTACGTTGCCTTTTAGCACGGTTGTCTACGTTGTCTTTTTGCACGGTTGTCTTTCATGTCGGCAGTAATGGGGCTTGCACTTTGCTGTCTTCCACAGGATTGTTGTAGCAGAAGGCTGTGCCGCGGCGCTGCGCAAAGTCTTTTGGAAGGGTTGTCGTGGCAGAAGGCCGTTCCACAGCGCTGCGCAGGGTCCTCTGGCAGGGTTGTCGTGGCAGAGGGCTGTTCCACAGTGCTGCGTAGGGTCCTCTGGCAGGGTTATGGTGGCAGAAGGCTGTTCCACAGCGCCGCGTAATGTTCTCTGGCGGGATTGTTGTGGCAGATTGTTTTTGCCGCAGCGCCGCGCAGGGTCCTCTGACTGGGTTGTTGAGGCAGAACGCTGTTTCACAGCGCTGCGCAGGGTCCTCTGGCAGGGTTTTCGTGGCAGAAAACGCCGCGCGATGTCCTCTGGCGGGTTGTTGTGACAGATGGCTGTGCCGTAGGCCGGCAGGGTCCTCTGGCGGGTTGTGTGACAGATGGCTGTACCGTAGCGCCGCGCAGGGTCCTCTGGCGGGGTTGTTGTGACAGATGGCTGTGCCGTAGCGCCGCGCAGGGTCCTCTGGCGGGGTTTTGTGACAGATGGCTGTGCCGTAGCGCCGCGCAGGGTCCTCTGGCGGGGTTGTTGTGACAGATGGCTGTGCCGTAGCGCCGCGCAGGGTCCTCTGGAAGGGCTGCACAATGTGCATGTGCTTCGCGTCGTTGCGCTGCATAGGTCACGAAGGGATGCTGCTCCGAACCGCCGGCTGACCACGGCCTCCAGCTGGTGGAGTCTCAAACAGATGATACGCCATCGGGGCTACGTTGTGTTGTAATTATAATGCCCCCATAAACACGTGGCTTTCTCTCGCACTCATCTCGATAAGATGGCGAGCATCGCTTCTTGAATAACAATGAGTTAAGGTGTTGGATTGGAAGTGCTGGGATGTGATGCATCCAAACCTTCTGCTGTCTTGGGAGCAGCGTTCTCGGGGCGTGTGGCGAGTGGCGGCGGTCGGATGCGCACGTCGCTGGGCATGTCGCCCCTGCCATTTGTCGTTCTCTCTCCCGCTGACGGTAGCCATCATATAGTCCGGTGTGCGGCAGTCTCTCCCTCTTCTTCGTCTGTCTATTGCCGCTGCTGTCCGTGTCTCTCGGGGCTGGTAAGCCATCTCTTGCCGCGGCTTGATACTGGTCAGCCACCTCCTGCCGCCTTTCGGTGCTGGTAAGCCATCCTCCTATCACCTCTTGGTACTGGTGAGCCACCTCCTACCACCTCTTGGTGCTGGTGAGCCACCTCCTACCACCTCTTGGTGCTGGTGAGCCACCCTCCTACCACCTCTCGCACAGTCGGTGGACGTCGGCCTCGCGCAGCTGGGCGTTGGCGGCGATGCTGCCGGCGACGCTGCATCTGAGCCGGCCGCTGTCCGTCTGACATCAAAATCAGCTGTTTTGTTTGCTTTCTGCACTGGTTATCCTTGATGCATTCGAGGGCCCATGTATCCCGCTTGAAATATTTCGGCTTTTTATGAATATTCATGGTTGGAATTAAGTCACTCACAGCGTCGGATTTTTGCAAAAGCTGCACGTCCCCCTAGCCAACAAGTGACTTACAACTGAAAGTGACGCCGTTTTGGACATAGAACATCTCGTGCAAGACGTCCCATGCGTCACACGTGCACTGCATGCACACACGATGCACTGATAAACCTGCCAGAGCATTCGGCCAAAGTTTCTGCAGCCTCCACGGGCGTTTGTGTGGCAGAATCCCCAGAAACCATGCGCCCAGCTCTTTCCTGCTGTAAAGGCGCCGTGGGCGACGGTGACGACAGGATAAGTTCATGGGGAATAAGGGATATAATTAACCCGTCGCCTCCATCAAGCCGAGAGTGCTTTCCATCTATGCATGTGTAGAGAACACGACAATGGCTGTGCCCCATGGGTGCCCGGCCATGCTCTGCTGCATGCGCTGCTCATAGCACAGTGACTAACGTCACTGAGGTAATACACAACTGTCGGAGTATTGCCAGAGTGAGTCGCAACAGCGCGCTCCGTCACCGCTGACGGGCGTGAGGGATGCGTTATCCGCCAGTGGGTATGGCTGGGTTGTGATCGCACAGAGGTCAGGGCCTTTCAGGAGACCATGTCTTTAAATGGCGAGCCTGGCGCCGAGTTTGTGGGAATCGCAATCCCAGTTTGTGCCATGAAGGCCCTTGCGTCTGGTCCGTGTTCTGCGATCTGGTCTCCGGGGTGGCTGATTGTATGGGGTCACGGTCGACCGAGTCACAAGCCGTGTCAGGTGTCACCCAGACGCGAGTTGCGGGTTTGGGGGTTGTCTCCACTGCCCTGTCTCATGTTCCACGGTTGCAAGAGCTTGCAAATGCCGAAGAAAAGCGATTTCGGTGAGGCAGTCGAACGAATCAAAAGTCAGTTCTGACGAAGACAATTTGGTGTCGTGTTAGTTGCGGTGAAGGCAAGAAGCGGTGAGAGATGGTATTGACACATACGTGGTAGCATTACAAGTTATGCCTGCCGGGTATCTTCTTTTCCCGGGGATTTTCGGTGCTTCTTTCCGCTGACCAGTGTTTGGCTAACTTTTCCGCCTGGAACACTGTGAACGGATATCATCCCAGTCTGTTCTCACTAAATCTCTCGGCATTGCCAGTTTGGCAGCGACCTTTATGCCGTGGACTGGTCAGGGTACAGCGGCCCCGTTTCCGAACTCCACCAGATCCCCTGTGCCGACGGTGAACGGAGGTGCCTAACGAGGGCGGTGGGTCTGTGCTGGGCGCGCGCGTACGGTCGGCCGGGACCGGCTCGCCGGGCTCACTCGTATGCGGCAACCGGCGGTCACGCCGGCTGCGGTGCGGGTCGCATTAGCAGCGCGCTGCTGCGTATGCACGGCCGACAATGGGCGGCCAGGGCGGCTCAGTCTGCACGGCGTAGGCCGTGGGCGCGGCAGTTGGCAAGACAATGTTCCGGCTCTGGGAAGAGACGCGGCCTGCGGCGCTGCGGTGTGTCGCTCCGGCAGGCATGATGTCCGTCCATGGGCAGCCGTCTGCGAGACCCGAGCCAGCGACCTGTCCGCCCGGGCACGCGGTACCACTGCGCTGGCCTGCACCGGAAGCGGCGCATGTCAGCTGGAGGACGGACGTTCGGCGCTCCAACTTCGTAGGCCGGGGGACGGGACCTGTGTTTGGCGGGAGTTTCGCGATGACGATGGGGTTTGGTAATGCTGGGCGGATGTGCTGGCTTCACGACTGCGTCCTTCTATAATGGCGGCATGCTGGCCTTTGACAGTCTGTTGTTCACGTCCATGGCGCGCACTTAAATGCGGTGTATGAATGTGATGGCCCGCAGAGAAGCCCCATTTTGCGATCATTGCCTCGTTCCCGTGTCGCGCATTTCTGTTTATGTTCGTTGGCGCCAGTACTGAAGCGTCCAGGAGAACAGCAAAATGCGTCGCTAAAAACCGGACATGCGCTTGCCTGCGGCCAGTAGTGAGCGTGCCAGGCTTTGCTCACGACTCAGGAAGCTCATACGCTCTGTCAGTTTTCTCCGTTTGCCAAACAACACGAGGTCGCAATAATGTGGACATGACTGTGAGTCTTTACACCGCCTGGAATGTTCCCATGCATGGAATACAGCAGTCGGCAGAATGGGCTGAATCGGCGATATGCCGACTGCTGAACACACCGCTGCGTTGGCCGGCCGTTGATTTCCCACATTCATCTCGAATCTGTGTGATTTTTAATCTTTAGTGCGGGGACCTTGCATAGCTGTCGAGATTGCTGCGGTGTGGAATTATCCCTGCACTATTTACGTGCAATTGCGTCCTCTCCTGCGCTTGTTTCTACCAGCAGCATGGTATTGCCAAACTGTAATGACTGTGGTTTTCATCTCTTGTGTGCACATAGTGTGGTATTTTCTCCTGTGACAGTATCTTCCATGACCGGTCGACAAGTAACTTCAACGCGTGCCTTTGGGCTCGGTTCTAAAGCATGCATGTCCCAGTTGCTGCTGAATTTACGGCGTGACGTCACGACATCGGTTCCATGCGGGCTGCGCCATTCTCTTCCATTTGCCAGAGCGAGGCCAGCTGCAGCTGATGGGGCAGTGAACATGCTCACAAACAGAGGTCTCGTTGTCAGCGGTTTACGTGACGCGCGCCTTATGAGCCGCAAATGACCACTGCAGTCGACGCGCCCGAAAAAATCCGCGCCTCGTGAGCTGTGATGCTTACCACACAGGCCGCATTAAGATCCATGGACATGGAGTCTCATGGCTCTCCACCCACTTTGGCCTCTATGCAAGCTTTTCAAGTTTCGAAATTATAGGTCCTGTGCCCATTTCCTCGCGCTCCCAAATGCACCGACCTCTTATCTCGGCGGTCCATGTACGCGAACAAAACAGTACGGCACGTGACGAAAGGCTGTGGGATATATGTCAGCGGTGTGCCGATCCTCAGAGATGATCGCCGTTGTTGCCGGTGATTAATGCCTGCTCAGATTGCCGACCGCTTGCAGCACTCCGTGTCATCGTGCCGGGGTTAGTACCATTAACGGCTGAGTGCCGCGTGTCGGCCGCCAGAGCTGGCTGGCTGTGGAGCGCCGTGCGGCCTCACCAGACCCGCCCTGCGCCTGTGCCGCAGGGGCGAGCTGGAGCTGGAGCTTGCCGACACGCGGCTCACCTTCGAGGGCGTCAAGAAAGAGTTTGACGCGGCGCAAAAGAGGTCCAAAAGCGCCACGCAGGTCCTGCAAGAGAGCCAGGAGGAGATACATGCTTTCCAAGTAAGGCCACTTAACAGGTCGCAGCCAACTGCGACCTGTTACGCATTGACGCATGCTTCACTGTGCCGTGTTGTATACATAAATACATGCGTGGGTCCTGTTGCGCTGTCTATTTGACATAGGCAAAACGTGTAAGCCTATGTGCGCTCATTTTCACTTGTTCGGTCTTTCCACTTGCATATCGCGATGCGAACCCAAGTCGCCAAGAGGCGTGTGTGATTTTCACTCGTGAAACGGTGTCTTAAAATAGCTCACTGTTCTGTGTGGCATTCGGGTTCCGTAAAGCAGCCGAACGTGCCGTGCATTCCGTGGCCTCTGGGCAGCGTCCGGCGGTGGTTGGCGTCCCCAGGGCGTCTGCAGCTGCCCGCAGGCTGGTGGGCTGACATGGTGCGCTCCTTCCCCTGCAGCTGCAGAAACTGGCGCGCCTGAACGAGCTGGAGGTGGCCGTGTCGCTGCACCTGAGCCAGCTGCAGCTGCTGGAGGAGAGTCGGCTGCCTGCCGACACGTCCGCCGGCCTCGTCTTCCGGGAAGCCGAGTTGGAGCGGCTGGCCGTCCGCATCGACGAGCTCTACACGGAGACGGCCGAGGAGAAGGCGCGACGCAGGTCGGCGGCGCGGCGCGGCGCCGGCCGCTTGCCACCTGACGCCCCGTGACGACGGCGCTCTGTAGCTGCGCGCCGCTGATAGTCGGTGCTTGGCTTGAGGCGTTCTGTCCAGCCGCCGTACAGGCTTTGATCCAGCGATAGTGCACTATCTTGTGTTAGCTGTACGGGGTAACGCATCGTTTGCTGTTATTGATTTAGTCTGTTGTCAGCTGTCTAGTTGCCCAATCGTTCTCCCCTGTTTTTGTGATGCGTGATTTTTCATCGTTGGCCGCGTTTCCATGCAAAGTAAGATTGATCGAGTCAGCCCACTTTCCCGAGTATTATGAGAAGGCAACTTGCATTTCGCGCTCGTAGTATACTTTGTACCTGGGAGACGTTTTCGTTCGTCAGCTCAGAAGTAGGCCTGTGCATTTCATCGCGCTGATGAGAGATAATGCGGCCACGTTTAATTTGAATGGAATGTGATTCAAGCTCTTGCACAAATATAATGATTTCGTGTACAGTCAATATCATCAATTGTGCCATGAATCATGTACTAAGAGCAATCTCACGACATGTAGTGTCCTGCACCTCAGCAAGTACACAATTCAATTTGTTTTGCTCCAGGGCCAGCTATAAGGAGGAACGACGGCTGAAACAAGACTGCCGTCTGATGGAGCAATACATCGTCAAGCTGCAAAAATCGAGTCTGGTGGGTGTGGCCCCGTAACGGATGTGCAGACCCAGTGGTATCGGCGTTGCTGGTGCGGCGCGGCAAAGGCACGCTTCAGTTAAACAATTACTGTCTCGACTAGTTGGTCACATGACGAAACACAGTGAGTCGCTGCATGCATGAGCAGATCCGGCTAATCCGAGGCGAGCGAAAGTGGATCGCTACTGGGGCAGGCTTGCAGCTACTGCACGCATCTGATCAACCGGGGCGGTAACCTTCTGCTCACAACAAGTCATTTGCGGTAGAGCTGGGCATAACACGCCAAGTTGGGCGGCGTGTGCGGTCCTGATGCCAAAGATCTGTCGGTCACGCGCCGCGGACCGAACGAAAACGATCAGCAGACAACAGATCTGACCCCATACACGATAGCAGTCAGGTGATAGACGTTGCCTCTAAAGCTTGCGCCGTTAGTGACGCCAGGCCTGGCACCGCACGGCTACTCTGGCCGGGCTAAGCCACCCGTTCGTCCGCAGGCGGAGATGAAGAAGAAGTTCGGACGCCGGGTGGACCTGGAGGAGCTGGAGTCGCTCAGCGTCAACGAGACGGTGGAAGAGCTGACGATTCGACTGGAGAGCGAGCAGTGCGGCGTGGACGCCGAGCGCGCCGAGCGCAAGGTCGGGTCCGCCGCCGGCGGCGGGCGCGCCGAGCCCCGGCGTCCGACGGCTCCCGCCGGCGGGCGTCAGGCTCCTCGACACCGGGCTCTCTCGGGCTCGGGCTCGGGCTCCCGGACACCGTGCCATATTGTACAGTGCAGCGTGTTGTGTGGTGTGGTCTGGTGTTGGTGGAGTGTCGCCCCTGTCGTGAAGCCCTTCAGGGCCCTTCTTCTGTAATGGTGGGGCGCCGACGCCTGAGGGGAGTGGTTAGTTACGACGCCGACGCCGGGTGGTTAGCGCTTTCGACCCCCACATGGACAGCCCGGGTTCGAATCCTGGCTGAGCTATCGGGCTATGGTCCCTGGATGTTCACACAGCCTCCGCCTCCGTAACCACTGGTTGCCTACGGATGGATGCGACGCAACGTGTATCGCATTCCCTAAAACAAAAACACTCCGCCTGGTGTGGATGGTCTTGTGGAACCGTGCTTTGCGTGTCCTTCCTGGTGTGATGGTGGACCGCTGACGCCTGATGGCACCGGTGTTGTGTTCGCAGGAGCGGATCACTGAGATACGGAAGGAGCTGATCGCGGTGATCGTAGAGAACACAAACAAGGTGGGCGTCATTCAGATGCTCAAGGATGAGAAGCGCCACCTGGACAAGGGACTCAACTTCGTTCGTAAGGCGGTGAGTGGAATCTGCTCTGGCGCTGCTGGACAAACCACACGGCATTTCGGAATGTGTGTTGTGTGTGTTGAAGCACCGTCAGCTGTGCCTCATCAGTGACAGTTTTCACCGAGAAATGCCACCATTTTGTCGAAAGCATCTCATCCATCAGGACATTAGAATGCAGAAGGTTCGAATAAGTGGCCTGCTTTTTATATTTCACTGCTTAAATCAGTTTTACTTTCCCCAGTATTGGACGGGCAACGTCAGCTGGATGCGTCTTGAATGAGTTTCCACTTGTTCTGTCCCGTCTGTGTATTGGCATGACGCCTCCCACCCTTGGATGATGCGGTTCTCACAGCAGCGTATAAGCCGTAGAGCCTCGGAGCCTCGGGACACGCTTTATTGCCGGGCGCAAGTGTCCGTGCCGCGGCAGTGGAAGCGTTGCATCGTATCCCTTCCACCAAAGCAAGGATGCTGTACACGTCCGGCGTGTTTGCTATTTCACCATTGTACTGCCAATTTGTGTCGAATCTATTAACAATCCATTTATGGGAACAATTCGTCAATGGAATGAGCATGAGCCCTTTCATCGGCGCTTCTGCGCAGTACCCCTGCCAGGGTTTCGTCAGCTGTTCCCGGCGACCGTGTGACCTGACCTGTGACCTCTGACCCGCGCTGTCGCAGGGCGTGGCGCCACACGACAAGCGGCTGGACGACGCCGTGGAGATCGATCACCTCATGAACACCATCAGCCTGCAGAAGACCCAGGTGCGCTGGCCGGCGGCGGGCTCGGCCGCCGCCCGCCGGTGCCTCTAACGGCGCCGTTGCGTGTCGCGCGGTCATACGCTCTGCTGCCGCCGGTGGCAGCGCGCGCCGTTGGTTGTACCGATGAAATGGTGCGGATGCGGGGCTTTCGTCCGACCGGTGAACGGTGCTACGTATGTGGTGGCGGCGGCGGGGACGTTGTGCAAGTGTGGTCGGCGTTCATAAGCTGATCACGGTTGATGACGGCTCTGGCGTAAAGTCCAGCCCTTCACGCCTGCGTACGGGGGCAGTAATTCATGCTGGGATAGTGCACAGGGCATGCATGCATGCGCTGATGAGCGGTTCGCGCGACAGTGTCAGTTTGTGTAGCTGAGGGTGACACGGGGTCGCACGGCAGCGGAGTGCACTGGATGAGTTTGCACTCGGCGAGGTGTTGTATGACAGGTGTTGCATGACACCGTGACGCGTGGAGCCCTTAAGCGTGATATGGCGTGATGGCTGTACCATGCATGGACACATCGATCACTCCCGCTGTAACTGCGACGGTGTGAAGATTGTCCGTCTCGTAACTGGTCAGTTGTGTGGGCGGCTTTGGCGGTGCGACGGCCGGGTGTGCCGCCGCCGGACGCGTGTGTGACGGCGCCGCCGCGTGCGGCCGCGCGCCGGCAGATCATGGAGCTGAAGCACGAGATCTGGGCACTGAGCCTCAAGAGCCGGCCGTACCGCGACCCGTGCCGGCGGCCCGTCTCCGACCACACCTCGTCCTCCGAAGAGCCAGATGTACGTACCCCCGCTCAGCCCGCAGCAGACACTTTCACCGGCCGGCGGGCTCGGCGGCCGCGCTGCCCCGCCCCGCCCCACCCATGACTGGGAGACGTCGACGGGTCGCGTCTTGTCGCCTGGCGCCGCCGCCGGCCGGGAAGCGTGCCAGCCGGGGGCGGGCGGGGAGCCGGGTCGAGTCCCCGTCCGAGACGGGCCGACCTCGGACGAGGCGCTCCGTGACGCCGACGGGCCCGGCTGGCCGCCGGCCGCGTCACGCCGTCGTCGTTACGGCCCCGGTAACGGCGCACGTCCCCGCTGGCCGGCGGCGGTGTGTCACGGCCCGGCTGGGGGCCGACATGCCGGGTCGGGGCCGACCGCACCCCGCTACAGTTACCGCCATTCACAGCCGGCCGCTCCACACGCCCGTCCGGTTAGCGGGATACGAGCTGGGCTCGGATTGGGAGGGGGGGGGGGGGACTGGAAGTTTGTTGCCTTTGAAATCGCACAGCGTTACGCGAATGACGAAGGGCGGGCAAAGGTGTTCTTCTGCACAGGATGACAGCATCATCACAGCTTAAGCCCCGTTTTCTGTCACCGCATTCTCGCGCGACCCCGCTGACCGGCCGCGTGAGCCCCACGCCTCGTCAGTGTGCAGTGAGGCCGGTGCCCGGCTGGCGCCCGGGGTGTGCGGCGGCTGTCCTGTGAGGGGCGGGCGGGACTGGGCAGCCACGGCGTCAGCGGCGGTCCGGTGCGCTCACCTGGCACTGCTGCTGACGCAAGCCTGACGGGCTCCGTCTGCTGTCGACCCCGGGGGGGGGGGGGGGGAGGGGCGCCGCGCCGCACCGCGAGCGCCGGTGGTCGCGCACGGCAGCTCCCCCGGATTACATTGTCAGGACCCAATTAAATCCAGACATTATGAGTTTTGCACTCGGTTAACCCACAAGTCTATCATTTTCACACGTTCCGAGTGTTCCGGTCCTACAACTCGGAGCAAATGCACTCCTCTTAGCAACCCTCATCAATATATGATGGTTCAGTCTTGGTTGACATGTATGAGCAGGCATGAGAGCATTTCCAGTCTTGCTCTTCAGTCTGTTTCAACTCCTGATTCCATCAAAGCGAAGTTTTGGGGAATTCCCGGCGCAGTTCAGTCCGCTGCACGAATCACCTTTTAAATCCATGCATTCATTCAGTCCGCGAAGAGTTGCACCATTCGCACCCTGTGGCAACCGCGAACCCGTCAGGAATGGTTTCGTACGATGGGGAATATCACTGTGGGTATTGCAACTCTAAGTATGGTGCAATAGGATTAACACGTGGAAGTTAAGGTAAATGTTCGTAATACCTGGTTTGAATGTGATACAAAGGTTGTGGTGTATTATGTTGCACCAAATTAAAGACAATTGCCACCCACGTTGGTGCAGAATTGGAACGGATGTTCAGGAACTCAAACGCATTCCAGCAGACCCGCACCACGGAACAAGGGTCTATTGGCTTGGCTTTACGCCTGTTTTGTAAAAAAGGAAATGCTCCGATCAGGCCTATTCAATGGAATGCCAGCATATTGAGCATGCTATAGAAAAACAGTCCCAGCGAGAGTCGGGCCAAAACGCACTGTCTGTAATTGACAGCGTGCATAACGTCCGAGACCCAGCGCCCAGGCCCGGTTGCACATAGCCTACAATTACCGGTGTGTGTCATGCGGGATACTTTCCCCGTTAACTGCTGTGCAAGTGTCCCGTGGTGACCGCAAACAACGCCCGGTGGGAGCGGCGCTGTCTCAGCGGGTACTTCGCGATCTGACTGTTTCGGGAAAACCTGACGAACCGTCGGGCCCGGCTACCACCAGTGAAGCATTTGACCCACTTCTGCCAGCGCTGGTATCACCTTTATGCGTCCTTGGCGTGTTGCGAGCGTCCTTGCAAGCCGTGGGTTTCAGCTGACCGGGCCGAGTAACTGTGCTATACTGACAGGCTTGATCATCGCGCTGGACCTTGTGCCTATTGCCTGTCATCCGTAACGCCTTCCGTTTGCAACGATGGTCAACGGTCACTTTTCGTAGGCTGCTCCCGTGCTCTGTCAGCAAGGACAGCAGAATCTGAGATGTTCTCTCGTCCTCTGTTTCGAAGCTTATTGATGTGGTTATTTGAAGTACATTAACGCGCAAAATTGTCATGACTTCAGGATGTCTAATCGTCTAAGACCCGTGTGATGCGTGCTTCAAAATAGTTCATGTCATATTCTCCCCTTTTCACATCCACGTAGGTCCTGTTTTGGATGTCTGTCACCTCAGACACGTGCGTGTACGTTTTGTTTTGGCATCGCTCGTGTTGCTGCGGTCTCCCGGGGCTGCCGCCGCGATCCAACGCGTCGTTCCGCTCGCCGCTAACCCGCGTCGTCCGACCGCACAGTTCCTGGAGTTTCCGTGCTCGGAGGACATGCTGGTGCAGATGGGCATCGTGCCGGACCCAGCCGGACCCTCCCAACGCGGCTCCGGGGACGGTCAGGTGGCGCCGTCGCCGCCGTCAGTCGGGTCGCGCGCCAGCGCCGGTGCGGCGGCGTCGCCGTCTGGCGGTACGGCGATGCTGCCACCTGCCGCGTCGCTGTCGGCCGCGGATGGTGTGGCGGCGTCCGATTCTGCTGACGACGAGGCGGCCCAGGGCGCAGGTGCCATGGGGGAGAGTGGTTTCGCTATTTCAGGGATGGGCATGGGCACAGCTGGAGTGGCGCGGAGAGTCTCTGCTCCCACTGAGCAGGACGAGGACGCGGCTCCTGTCGAGCGGGCGAAGCCGCCCGCTGCCGAGCCGAGGCCCGCTTCGGGGCGCAGGGCCCCGTCTGCCAAACGCCGGGCCAGAGGCACGGCTTCTGTGAAACTGAAGGACTCACCGACCGCCGAGCCGCCCCCTCCGCCCGAAGAGGCAGAGCCGCCGGCGCCGCCTGACGACTTGCCAGAAGCCGAGTGGGACTGGCCGGCTGATGCAGAGGAACAATCGGCGTCCGACTCGGCAGAGGAGCCCACGAGCCCAGTGCCGGACTCCGCGTCTCCCAGGCATCTATCGGCAGGGGTAGGCATTCCAAACAGCGTGGCGGGAGCTGCGGTGCTGCTGCACCCAGAGAGCGGTTCGGCTGGAGGCAGGACGTCTGTGTCACCACGGACGTCCTCGATGCCAACTGCCCCTGTGGCGGTGAAGGCGAAAGCTGACAAACGGCTCGACTCCGTCGGGAAAGCGATAGATCCGGGCGAGACTGCTGCTGCCGACGGCACAGCGCCCCCTGAGGTGGTGTCGACAGCGGAGGACACCGCGCCAACGAAGGAGCCTCCCGAACCAGCTGACTCCCCAGCTGCTGAGCACACGCCGGCAGCAGGAGAGGGGACAGGAGCGCCGACATCTGGGAAGGCTGCCACTGACGAAATAGGTCCCGCAGATGAGACCCCGGGTAAGGCGGAGGCTCCGTTTGACGGAGAGGCCGCCGCTGATGAGGCTTCGGATGCTGCAGCCGCTGAGCCAGGCGCTGCCGGTGACGATGGCCCGGCCGTTGCGCGGAGTCGGCCATCTGAAGCCGGACCGGCGGCTGAGGAGACGCCGTCTCCTAATGCGGCGCCGCCGGCCGAGCAGTAGCGGCAGCGGGCGGCACCAGATGTCGCGCTGCTCCGGGAGGTGAGACCACCAGCGTGGACAACCGGTCAACAGAACTTCCTTACAGTGTGGACTCGGGTGCCCAGGGAGCGCCGCTTGGCAGAGCGAGACGGGCAGGCGGCGGCCGCGTGGTGCGTGTAAAAAGGCTCCGGAGTTAGCTACCGTAGCAGAAGCAGAAGCCCTTCTCATGATTCGGCTTCGTCAGCTGGCTGCCTTTCGTGTACCGTTGAGTGGTTGGACGGGCGTCAGTGGCATCTGTGGTGATATTTGGAGTGCGACTGGAACGTTCGCGTTACACGGTTATGGTTTAATTGTTCTGATGGCACGGAGCGCTGTGAATATACACGTTCCTGGCCATGTCTGTATTTGAGTATTTTGTTATGTCGTCTTCTGTTGGTGAAGAAGACGCTGAACAGGACTCGTGCTTCCGGCAGTATATTCAGGCTTGAGTGCAGCGTCAGTCCATGTCCTGACCTAACTGGTCAGCTCTGGACTGATAAATGGGGGTAAAACAGTACTGTAATTCACTTGTTAGATGGGCAGCTACCCTATCTTCTAGACGTTGGAAGTGCGTGCGAATATAGCCGTTTTTGTAAATCCTTGACATACCAGTGTCTTGCAAAGGTCGTGGCCACGTAGCGGTGGCGGCGCGTGGAACCATTCCGGCGCAGTGTCTCGGAAGCAACAGTGCGGTCGGCGTGCCAAATGACTTTCGCGGTATGCGGTGGCGGAAAATCGGAGGGGGGGGGGGGCCGTCCGGCCCGGGCCGGCGGTGGCCTTGCCGGGACCTTCCGGTGTCGTGTCTCGCTCGGCGGCGCAGCCCGCTCGGAGCTGGCCACCGCCCCGCCGCCTCCGGTCCGCACCACCGACTCTGAGTCAGCGCCCGTCCACAGCGCGGAGTCATGACTCCGCTGAGGCGAGTCGCCGGGCTCAGCCGGCCGCACCGTCTCGACCGGTGTGCTCATCGGCTTCGGTGATGGTTTGAAACTGGTTGCGATGACTCGCTCGAACGGCTCCCCTTCACATGGCCTCCCCCCCCCCCCACCCCTTAGGTCGCTTTAGTCTATTTGGACAGCATGTCTGTGCGTCTATTGTCGCACTCGGTGCACATCACACACATCTTTTGAAGCTGACATATATTCCTCAGAGCCAATGATCGAACACCTTTGTAACGTCTGGCGTTTATGTGTGATAATGCATCAGAACTGTACCGCGTACACAGCGAAGACGAAGACGAAGACACTTAAGAAAATACTGTTGGGTGGCGACAACCTGAGCTGCGACCCTCCGAACTGAATATGTTGTTACATTTGTCTCACGCACTTGTATTCATGATCGCGAGCACTAACGAACCATATAAATAACCAATGAAGCAGAAGCTGCGCCGCCCACGCAGGGACAGCCATTGCCTGCACACTCGCTGGTCAGTACGCCCTGTGACCGTTGCCACTTAAACCACGAACCGATCTACAAAAAGCAAAAGAGGTATGACCGAATGAGCAGAAAACATGCTCGACTTACTCCCACCAACCCCAGTCCTCTTCCTATTACGGGAGTCAGTGCAAACCGCTAGGGTAGCCTTCCTGCCAGTGCATGTTATTTCAAGTTAAGTTATTCCAAGCTTCTCCAAATAACTTTCGGTCTCAATTTGTGTTTCTTCGCGAAAGTTGATGTCCTTCGCCGTAGTGTGTTTTTACTTGAGCTAGCCGCGATGCCACTGCGCGTATTTGCAGTTTTCAGGGCTCCTCTGACGTGAGCTCGGTGTTGTCTTCTGCGGTGACCACGCCGTCCGTTGTAACCTCGGCATTGCTAGGTGCCTCGGTGGGCTGCGTCGCGTCGTCCTTGCTACCATCACTATCCGTGTTCGCTGCCCTTACGACGTCCGCGGGCGTCGTAGCCATTTTCGCCTCCGAATCTGTCGTCGCCTCGCCGTCGCCTTGCTTCTCATTGTCCCCGCTCGCCTCAGTCACGACCTCGGCCGCTTCCACCTGCACCGTCTCTTCTGTCGGCTCGACGCGGCCGTCGTCTTCGGCGGCGCCCTTGTCCTCGCCGTTCGCAGGCGCGTCCTCCTGCTCCCCGTCCACAGCAAGCGTCTCCTCTCCCGCCGTGGCCCGGTCAGCGCCGCCTTCTCCACTCAGCGGCTCGAGCTCCCCCTCCTCCACCGCGAAGACGACTGTCCGCGGCTGGGGCAGCGGGCGGCGGACGGCGCCGTGGCCGTCCTCCTGCTTCCCGTCTATAGCAGACGTCTCCTCTGCCGCCGTGGCCCGGTCAGCGCCTCCATCTCCACTCAGCGGCTCGGGCTCCCCCTCCTCCACCGCGAAGATGACCGTCCGCGGCTGGGGCGACGGACGGCGGACGGGGCCGTGGCCGTCGCTGCCCGGCAGCTGGGCGCGCCGTAGCAGCAGCAGCATTGCCTCCGGCCGCGCTCTGCACGAGCGGATGTCGCAGGCGCGCCGGTTGCCCTTGAAGCGGCGGCCGCGCGCCGCCGCCCTGAGGTAGAGAAGGCGCGGCGAGTCGGCCGGCGCCGCCTCGTCGTCGAACTGGTCATCGCTGCCGGACACACACAGTGGCGGCGTCACGACCGTGGACGCGCTCCGCCGGCGTCGCCACATCATGCCAGTAAAACCTGTCGGGTCATCTAACGATTGCGCGGGAGATAGTCGACCACGTGTTGTCAAAGATTCCTGGTCGCCACTCAGACGTTTTATGAGGCATCATACCGTTGTTCTAGTACCTCAGCCCTTGTGCCGTGATGATGAGAAGCCTGTGTACTTACTGAACTTCCCACTCCATGAAGAACGGAAAGCACCGAAGCTACGGGAAAGTGAATCAACAGACTGTTCTGTGAGTGTAGAACACGGCCCTCTCCGATGAGAACGTGAGATTCAGGGCCATCCATGTGGTGATCGGTCCGATCAGTCCGCGGTCGACCTCACGTGAACAGGGCGGCCAGGTCGCGCTCCTCGGGCGCCAGCTGCTCGTCGTCACGGGCCATGATGTCGCACGCCCATTTGGCGAAGCACCGGTTCACGTCGATCCGGTTGATGAGCTCAAACAGACGCGTCGGGTCCACCTCGTTCACGATCTTGCCTCGCAGCGAGACCTCGCGCCTGCCGCGGGGCCGAAGATGGAACAGTCAGCGGCAGCGGGGCTTGTTTACGCGTAGGTCAGCCGCTGACTCGTGTGGCGTTGAAATGTTAGAATGCGCTAGCTGTGTGGATGAGCTGTGCTTACTTTCGATACTGCTGTTTTTCGGAAGGAACAAGGGCTCAAAATCCTCCCAATCAAAACAGGTGCTCAAAACGCTCCCATCAAAGCCAGGGCTCAAAACTCCCTCTACCAGTGGTGTCTACCGCTGAGCACTCGGGCCGCTTACAAGTCATCAGAGAATAGAGAACAGTGTCGGCGTCTCTTGGAACGCTCAGCAACAAAGGCGTGAGGAACAATTAGGCAGTTGGGAAGATTGCTAGAACGAAATTCACTGAAAAAACCAAGTACGAATTCCATTCATGTTCGTGACAAGCCAATAGCAAGGCCATGGATCAATTGACAGCGGACATACCGACTAAATTGTACAGTTCGTGACGTCTGTTACCAAAACTAATTTTCCGTGTCCACCCGCCAGCAGCGCCGCACCGCCGGGCCGTGAACAGAGCCAGTTGGCGTGGTTCGCGGCCGGCCGTCCCGGGCGAGCAGCTGCGCTCAGCGCTGCCGCCGGCCGCCGGCCGCCGGCCTGGGTCACGGGCCATTACCGCTCGGAGCGGCCGAACACTGCCGGGAAGTGGGTACGCGCCGGGCCGCTCACTCATGGCCGCCGGTGGGCACGGCTGAGCACGGGGTGAAAAGCGACCGCAGCCTCATGGATGTGACCGTTAAGCTTCGGAAACCCGGGCTGGACCATTCGTGGAGCTGAAGCTCTAAGGCGGCTTTACGACCCATTTTTCGATCATTTCATTTTGACCGGAATAACCGGTCACTCACTGGTGTCGCACGACGGCGGGGGTTCCAGGAGATGGCAACCAGGCGAATGTTGACGGACGGGCCAGCACGTGCTGCGCGGGCACCAGCAGGCCGACCAGCACCAGCAGCGCTGTGGATACTGTCATCCTGAGGGCAGAGGGGCCGCCGGGCGATGGGGCGCGCTGGGACCTCTTGAGATGCGGGACGTGCTTCGCACAGTGCGTGCTCACAGAATGCTAGCAAGCGGTCACAATTTACGGATGTGCAGAGTTACTTGTGCGCAATTGTGTACCTTCGGCAGCCATATACATCGGTCTCGCACACGCTCAGGTCCCACCTATTCGCTCGTCAATAGGGCACAATAGCCGCGCTGCATACCAGTGCAGGGATCCGTGAGCATTGCTGGCATCGTGCATGTAAGGGAGTTACAGCACAGCACCTTACAGCGGCTTTCGGTTGTTTGCGAAATGG